TTCCTGGTTTCAGAGGAGAATGTTGGATGATTCTACCCGGCCGATGGTAAAGCCTTTAAAAGGAGCTGAGATTTCTTCAGTTCCCTGAAAGTACAAACCCTGAATACATAAACAGTTCTATAAGGAATTGCGTAATATCAGAGTTCTACTGCATGAATGCAAAGTGAAATGATGGTAGTCTATGCATCGACTGGCTTCCAGTGCTTTGTGTTAATACCCTGGATCAATAGTTCCTTAAAAGCATCAAGTGAATCAGCTTGGGTCCAATATGAGGTGAGATTTGTCCATTTGTCTCCGGGTAATGACCATGAATTTCACAGAGCAGACAAGCCACGCAGGTGGGGAAGATGTAGGAGTTTAAAAATCGGTGGATAAGAGGGAGAGGAAGGCAGAGATGCTGAGAGGAAAAGGGTGCAGGCAGTCCAGTCTGGCTCAAGCGGCTGGACCTGCAATCCACGTAGGGCCGCTGATATCAGGAAGTGTCCAACAGATGGTTGGACAGTTCCTCATATCTGTGTTAGGACTGTATTATATCGACAGTTTATGCTTTTTATCAGTGATGAAAACATGAAGTGCACGTCCATGTGCCACTATTCACACTGATGTTCTTGTTTTTGCTTAAATGTCCAGTGTATGGGTAGCTCTCATATGGGTTTAAAATATCAAAGGGCCACACAGAGACAATTAAGACACACAACCATGCACGCTCACATTTACTCCTAAAGTTAATTTAGTGTCACCACTTAACCCACTATGCATGCTTTTGGAGGGTGTGAGGGAGCCAGAGTACCCAGAGCGAGCCCACAAAGAGACAGGAAGGACATGCAAACTCTACTTTCACCTTTACCAAGAACATTAAAATCGTTATCCTTACAGAAACTTTAACTGTAATAATTGGCCATAATTTTATGGATACAGGACTGTCATTAGCAGCATTAAAGGACAGAGGCTTCCCTGCAGCCTCTCCTGCAGGGTGTCTTGACTCGGTGAGCCTTTGAAGTCCTTAGGAAGCAACTTATCCTTCTTTCCCTGATGCATCATCCTGTTGTTGAATATGCAAATCTCTCTGCTCATTGCCGCTACAAAAGCACCCATAATGAGCTTGAACCTCTTAGTAATTGCCCTCATCCACTGCTCGTAGAGCACGCTCTAACTAGCATCCAGTACATAATGATGTGTGGACAACCAGAGTCCCAATTCATTTAATCCTCACCACTTTTGCTTTCTGCTTTTTGCTCTATTGCTAGTAGCTGGAAGAACACATGGTGCATACAGACACCACGCAGGAGAACACGTTTGATTTTTAGTGATGAGGTTACAGCTTTACACTTGGATTTCGTGCACTTCAGTACTTGTACACAGTAGTGCCTCTGAAATATCTCACTCGCTTTAAAGAGGAAAGCTTTGACCTGAATGTCCAACAAATTGTTGCCAAATTGTGAAGAAACCAGTATGACCTGTCAGAGTGTGATGTATTGTTTAAGAAGAAATGACATCATTAGTGTTGTTGTCACACAGAGGAAATGGGGAATTGCTGCAGTAAACAGAGTGGACTGTCTCAACTTTTTGCCTCCTCTCTCCTCTGTGGTTTTGTGACCTGCATACTGATGACCATTTTTAACCAAGAAGACATCATGTCCCAGCACCAGTCCGCTAAAAGAAGTGACGCTTTGATGATCTGGAGAGGACCGAGTCAAGAGCTCTCCGCTGTCATACGCCTTTCATCTTTTGCTGTTCTCGCTTTCCAAAGGTCCATCTCAAACCTTTTTGTTTTCCATCTTCCCTTTTCTATCTCTGCTTTTGGTGTCTGCATTGCAGTGCCTTTCTCCCCCTTATATGAAGTGAGACATGTTTATATTAGCAGCAGGACTTTAAAGCTGCCCTGTTCGGATGAGAGCTTGCAGCTTATACTACATCTGGATGGATGTACTGTTTAGTTGAAGGATACGGTGCAGACTATTGTATTAAGAAAAACATTCTGATCCCCAGCTGTCAGCTTTATCTAGCGTAGATGTAATATTAATTTCAAATATGAGCCTCATTTCAAACTGATTACATCTCAGTCATTGGGAGTCGTAGAAACCTAAAACTAAACGCCTAATATACCTAATAATGTGGAAAGTTGAGAATTGTAGTTGATGATGCATATTCAGAAATATTTTCTATGTTTTTGTAGCGAGTAAAAAGAAATGGACTTGCGCCGTCTTAAAACAAAGATTTTTTGTGTTGCAATTCATTGAAATTCTGAGTATCCTTTCTTTTGCTGCTTCTCTTGAGTCTCTAGACTTCTGATATTTTGATGATTTTAATATTTTAATTGACATGTCTCTCAATATTCTTGACAGGAACTTTGACCGCACATCTTTTCTTGTTACTGATCTATGACTAACTCCTGTATTCATTCAGATTTTGTGGTAGGCAGGTTTACATTGCATGCTATTTTCCTATACTAACATATACTTCCTGCAAAATTGCCTTTTAATTTTCTTTCTCCTCCCCTTCAAAGAGGTGTGCACTTTACCTGTTCGACAAACATTCCAGTGGATCAGACGAACATCCACACGATACCAGCCATAGCAAACAGGCTTGTGCTGCCATACTGTGAGCTGTGAATATGAGGCTGGAGATATAGTGGCGCTTTGGGAGTTTTTTGGCTCCTTAAAACTCAGTGGGGCTGTAAGTGGTCAGGCAGAATGAGCAGAATGTGGTGTGACTTTACCACAATGAGAGTGGTGGAGTAAAAGATGTGATTAAACAAGACAGTGGTCTCATACTCTTTTCCTCGTAAGTGCCTTCAAAAGCAAACGGACCACCATTATTGAGCTTCTAATCCCCTTTTGATTTCAACTTTTCAGGCGGCTTTTAATTTCTTCAACTGACCACTGATTGAAGTACCTCTGCTTTGAATGAAACTGAGGAATCTGGTCTTCAAGTGGATTTATTATGTTTTCATGAAGCCAAAAGTTCTGTGCGTTCTCTTCCAATGCAACACACAGTCTTCTGCAGCTCAGAAACAGAGTGGGTCACTTTTCTAGAGCTCCTTGTGGTGGAAAGAAAGGAACAGGACAGTTAATTAAGCTGTAAACTTCCAGGATTAATACAAAAATATACAAGGTTAATCAGATACTTCCAGGACAGGCTCCGCTGTGCATGAATAAGTAGAAGATCAGATCCAGGGATGCGCTGCTCTCCTCAACTGCAGCTGTGATTAAGAGTCAATATTAGTCTCTGCCTTTTCCCCTATAACCTAAAATACGCAACGCAATCTTGGGTATTTTTTTTTTGCAGAAATGGCTAAATTAGTGTTAGTTTGACTTGTCAATAAATAAAATGACATTGGCATGTAAAGCATGAGAGAAAAAGTGGGTAGAATATGAATAAGTTATATGGTCTGGACTCCAGTCTCTGCTTGACAGTGTCGTGTAGTTCTCCCTTTTCTATTATCACCACCCTCCCTGCTACAGTGTCCACTCCTAAGTGAACTGTGGCCGAGGAGTTGTTGAGCTGTCAGCTGCTCTTTTGACGAAATGCACTCGGTAAATGTATCAGAGGGGTTATAGTCCGCCTGCGCACCCTCGCACAGAGTGCAGTGTGTTATCTGAAAATGTGTAAATTCATGCACAGCACCTTCTGTTGAAAAGAGAAAATACTTTGCCAAACAACTCTCTCTTTTTTTAGTTATTCTTTTTATTCCAACTCTCTGCATTGCACCTTCATTAAATCAGAGGCATAAAAAATGGAAACATGAATGGACATCTTGATAATTCATTTTCAGCATTTATTTCCATATTTAGAAGAAAGGTCACACCCCCCATTTAAAACGTATATATGTACAGATTAAGGGGGAAAAAATTATATTCCTGCATGATTGGACAACCTTCTTATAAGGTGAAGTTAATTAGAAATAGTTTTGCTCTGCTTTTAAAACTTTTATCTAATAACATTTAAATAATTGAAAGCAATAAATGCAAATCTTATGATTTCGTTTTTGTTTACAGTTGGGCTAACTTCATGTTAAGATGAAAAATGCTTGTTTACAGAAAGAAGCAAATGTGTGCTATTCTTAATCAGATTAATATTTGCAAATGAGATTACTGTTGTGCCCATTCAACCAATTTAAATGTTAGATTACTCCTTAATGGTGAGCACTTACAGCACATGACAATAAGGTTCTGCATCAAGCCTTTGTGAAGTCTGTGTGAGCTTGTGAGGGTTTTCTTCACCTTCCTCTCTAAGTCCAAAGGCTAAGTGATGATTCTGAATGGTCAGTATCTGATAGTCTGAATTACCCAGTGCTGTAATATCCTTAGATGTGGACTGGGTTGCATGCCTTGTGCACTGACTATTCCGATTGTGAAAAGCTCCAGTTCCCTGAAGCTGTTTTTTTGTGATGCAACGAGTATGAAAAGGATTGATTTTTGAAATTATGTGAAGGGAAGAAATACAGCATGGCTTTGTAAACAGTAACAGCTGATGAGCTCCCTGCTTGACATGATTGATTAAAACGCGTTTCATTCTCAGCTTCATGGGGGCTTGTTATTCACATCAGTATGCACATCATGATTGTCTTCTTTTTTGATGAACGATATAATAAAAACAATATGTAAATATATTTAATATATTTATATAATTATTATTTTCCCAGGCATTGTGGCCAATTTCTGAATTTCATTTGTTGACGTGTGTTATTTGAACTAGAGTTGACCTCATCAGAGCAACATTTGGTAAGAAAAGAGAGGGGCAGCTGACAATAATACTCAAATATGCTTGATGATATTGGATAGAGGTGTTGTCATTTAATCAGCTCACATTGTCTGAACAAACGTCACTGTGTCAAAGGTCTGGAATTAAAACATCTCTGACAAAAACAATTTAAAAACACTGAGATTTATTTATAATAGCATACCAAAGATGAGACTTACATGCAGACAGATGGGTTCTCGTGTTCTGTAGAGAGCTTGCAGCTTTCATATGATTTTTTTTTCTTTCTTTTCTTGCAGCACAGTGCTGAACTAATCAGTGAAAAGGGTCTTATTGGGTATTAGTTTGGTCATTAGAATTGCTCAGCACTGATCTGAAGGCCATTCATCAAACTCAGTGGAACCACGGAGGCAATAAACTGATTTCTTCTACATATTTGATGCCCTGACTCCATTGTTCAACACCCCTCTGGCCTGAATGGCTTGACCTTTTATTTTTCTGACATTTTCAAAGTCAGAAAGAAAGGGCTCCTACTGAGCCCTAGGCCCCTCCCCAGTTTTGTCCCAGTGCATGCCATTGTTTGCAAAAGATTTTAGCCATATTTTCACAGAAGTCACTAAAGTGGGTCAGTGAGTTTTACGGGACTGTGATGAAGCCAATATGTAAATGGTTAGAACTTTTGTGCTATGACTGGTTCAGTTCAGTTTGACTGAGGTACAGGCTCTTAGTTGCCATTTTGTATAGATTTTTATTCTTGAGCAACAACCAATCACCATTCACCTCGAATGCTTTCTGATAACTATGAGCTTTGATTCTTGGCTTTTAGACATTCAATTGCATTGATTTCCGCACTATACTTGATACTTGCTTGTTTTTTTGTGATTTATTCTTCTAAGTATAGTCATCTGAATTTCTTTTTGGGGGGGGGGGGGGCTTTGGCAGGTAACATCAGAGCTCAACATTCTCTTGAGCTCTAGATATACATTATAGATGTTTCTATTGACTTGTCATTGGAAAAAAAATGTTTTTGTGATGCTAAATGCATGCAGTTAGCAGCTGATGGGAATTTCATTGTTTAATTTCCTGCATACCAGAGTTTTATCCATATGATCTTATTGGCTATAAAATCTGAAAACTGCAGATTTTTCTGAATGTAGCTGAACCAACCTTACTGTGTTTAATCACCAAACCACTGAGTGATTTTACTACAGCATTTTTGATTATAATAAATCAGCTGAAATACATTGTATCGTTATATTTCTCTCAATGGGCTGCTTGTAAAGCGGTGTCTCTGAGCAACTTTAAACATCACATCTCAGCTCTTTTTTCTTAGTGTCTTTGAATATTTAGTTGCCAAGGGCCTCATTAACACTTTTCTTACCCTGTTTGGATTTTGGTGTGACTATTTGAATTATTTTCAAATCATCGCATTGTCAAATCGCTGAGTACGGGCTGCTAGACAGCTGCTACTGTCTAGCAGCCCGGACAGATGTGATTTTAGTTTTGGGCGCACTTCTTCTGTTGTTGTTTTAAAACTGTGGTGGAAGGGGGGGTCTTACTTCTCCCCACATGCGCCTCCAAGAGACTCCATTAAAGCGCTGCACATGATACAGCTGCAGTCTTTGTAAGTAGGGCATCACTTCTATTTATTTTCACCCAATTTTGTGGTCACTGTAGGCTTCTCTTGGTTACTATCTCAAGTCCAATCTTTGCTGCTGGTCACCATGACGACAGCAAGCCTTTAACCCCTTGCTTAATCAGAGGCAGTTGAAAGTGGAAGGATTCTTGAGGGTTCAGATGAAACCGCTTTCTTTCCGCGCTCCATAGAAATGAGACTTAAATGAGGCTTCTAACCTTCATGCAGTGTCTGCTCTGGATGCACTGGACCCATAGATGCATCCGTCCTGCTTTTCATGCAAAAACGTGTTGTCTTTACTGAGCAGTAAGAAAATTACCAGCTGCCCCCAGTAAAGGAAAAAAAGCTTCCTGTATTATATTTCCACAGAGACAACTTTCTTTGTTTGTGATTAATACCAGAAAGTAAAGTGTTCGCGGCGGGTCAGATAGACGGAACTCGTCTGTGCTTGAGGACGGTTCAGATTTCATTTGAGACGAAGCAATCACTGAAAAAATAGTACTGATTAACCTGCCTCACCTCTGGTTTCTGGGTACTAGTTTCCTTTTAGTTCTGGATTGCTGTGCTTTTTACAGTAAAAGGAGTTATCTTTCAAAAGGCTCTGGTTCTGACATCCTGACACCTGCCAACTCTACCTGCATATATGCAGTTTTTTTTGGCTTTTCAGCAAATTTCAAACCCCAGCAGCTTGTCTGAGCTTAAGTGTATCTCTAAAAAGACTGCAGAGCACGAATTCCACCCCACAGCTCTATAAGGCTTTGTCCTGGTTGGAGTCGCAGGGGTGTGGATTTTATCTCGGTTGACATTGGTGACAGAATAGGTTTCCAGCACAGCACAGCGGTTACTCCCAAACAGCCAGCCACAAACACCACGCTCAGTGCTAAGAGCAGGAAAACTGAACCCAACATGCACGTTTTTAGACTTTGGGGGGGAAATGGAGCGCCAACAGTAAGCTGTATTTACTCTTCAATATTTTGATTAGCTTTTAGGAAGCAGAGTTCCTTCTTTTGCTTGGGGATAATGAAATGGGTATTTCTAAAACTACACTGTGCCTCCATGTGTCAGAATTCCTGTAAAGGTGCAGATTTGTTTCTGCAATTCACCACGTTCACACATCAGTGTCAGGGTGTATGTGATGTTGACTTACACTGCATTCAAAGTGTCAGGAGATTTAATTTAATTTGTGTTTGACTGCACACTGTGTGAAGACAGATTGGTTTGGTGTGTGTGCAAAGACCTCAATAGATTCTTAAATTGACACTTTGCATGTTGAGTGGCAAGTTGTCTTTTACAAGGATTGCATTTCAGACTTTAAACATAATTACTGCAGCCTCCTTTGTTTGTTTCCCATTATATGATTTTTAATTTACTAATTTTTGGAACAATACAGAGACAGAATAAAGAATTCTGGATGTGGAGTCACTGTGAATAGGGTCCTTTACAAGAAACATTAAGTTGAGCAAATTTACTTTTTTTTAAATCATAATTTAAGCTAACTTAATCATTGGAGAAATTGAAGAGTAAATTTAACATTGCAGACAAACATTAAAGGCTGCAGACAGATGTCCTCGAACTGAAGCCAGTCAGTTCAATTATAGTCATGAATGTATGAGCACTTAAGAAATGTGGATCAAGAGGGTCCCTATCTATCTGGCAAATGAGTTATTTGGTATTCTGGAGCAGTTGGTGAGTAAAGAGCTACAGTCAATGATAACAGATGAGAGTACCAGGGGACACAACAGGATGAAATTTGGAAGAAAATAAACAAAAATAGAATAATCTTGACAGAGTGCAAGATTGAGAAACCCTTCTGAACAGTCATACCTCACACCAGTACACTGAGATTTGAAGATTTCAGAAAGATTGTAATTAAGATCCTGTCCCAAACAGTGAGCTGTATTCTTAAAGATACCATTAAAGGTCAATAAATCAAGGCTGCCAGACCTACACGTTTGCATAATGAAGTAAGGCATATAGAACATGGATGCCCATAGACATGCAGTAGTTCAACTAACTTGAAGAACCTTTTTTCTGCAATTTGCAGACATCTTTTGGTCTGTAGGTTAATTATTGGGATGAAAATACTGACAATATTCACATAACTTTCTGTTTTAATCTATTTTTCAGCATTTGTATCAAGTTTGAAAGAACTCCAGAGGCAAATGGAAGCTGTGAACTCAGCACAACACAGATTGACAGTACAGATTTGCAATGTCAAGACTAACAGAAGGCATGATAAGATATGGAATACACACCTGCAGAATGCTTCCTCTTTTGTCAGATAAATGCTCATCTGTCTCATGACCGACAGGCATTTTCATTTTGGCATTAGCTTTTTATATACACTCTTGCTTGCTGTCATGCATTCCACAGAATGTTAGTAATCTTTAGAAATGCCTGGATGGTATTTCTAGTTTTCCTGAGAGTCTGAAAGAGGTAAAAAACCCTTAATTCATTCAGTTTACTGTGGGAAATGTACTCGTGTTTTTATGGTGTATAAACCACATAATAGATGCTATTTACATGCTAATCTAAATTTGTACAGTTGTGTAGTTATGAATTAGGTATGCTGGGAAACCTCCAAATTCTTCATCTGAATATTTCATACTTGTCTCTTTTTCAATGCAAGATGTCTATTGTTGAGGTTATTGTTACTGTGATCATCATAAATGCCTATTAAGAAGAGTTTAATAGGAGAGCTCATTCCAATTTCCCCAGCATGCTGAGGTGCAGTTTGGTTTAAGTATTGTGAGCAGACCAATGATCCCAGTGCTCCTTCAGTATTTGCTTCTGGTGTGCCATTCAGTTGGGTCCTATTTAGTCAGTTAATCATTGAAAAGAATATAAACCATTTGCTATTCACTTTGCACATATAGAATATTCCTCTTAAAAGCTTCATCTTATTATCCATCTTTTTTCTTTTTTTTCTTTTTGTTTTTAGCAACCTCCCTTAAAAACTGTCACATTTTATGTAACCCCAAGACATTTGTCACATAACCTCTTCAACTTAACACTTTCTTTAAATACATTCCTTTTTTTAACATATTCTAGTGGCTTCCAAATGATTGTGATGCAATAGTTTATTTGTAAAGAGTGTTATTCAGATGATGAGAGGGATGAGAGAGGCAGTGTTGGTAGGCACACAACAGAATAATCCTCTAATGGTTCCCTGTCATTAAGTAAACCTCGGGCATACTGCCATATGCATTTAGTTCAGGAGAAGATTCTATTTAGCTTTTATTTCTAGTGGGACTTACTTATCACTGGGTACAAGATTTTTCTGTTCAACTGAGCCATAATACTCATTCAAAGATGTATTTTCTTAAGTCTAACAAAATGTTAGTTTAATTGTATTGATACTACATCTCTATTTTTTACAATTTAGTAACTATTTAAGTAACATGGCATCTCACTCCAAAATAGCAAATTACCACCATATAAAGTTGTAATCTGGCTTTTTAAAAAACTTTATTTTAAATCAACCTGTTTTTTCAACAGGATTCAATAGGTTTTAACAGCTGAAAATGTAGAGGACCACTACGTTGGATATTAGTAATATGGTTTAATTGCACAAGCACAAGTAGAATTTAAAGTTTAGTTTACTTAATTTTTTTCCCCTTTCTTGTGTATTCTTGGTTTAAATTCACAACAGAATCAGAGCTTTTAATCAGAGAAAGACTGAGAACAAAGACCTTTATGCAGTCCAAGAAGCCTTTAAGCTTCTCAACCTCACAATTTCAAACAAAGTACCAGTTTAAATTAAGGATGGAAAAATCTATAAATATATTGGCCAGACATCTGTATTTGAATTCCTGGACTGTGATGAGCCAAAAGGCAAATTGACGTACATGTGCCTATAATAGTAACAGTACCAATGTGCCTTGACTGTCAATTGACAATTATTTCACCAACATTAAAGGGAAAATCCATGGTAATCCAATAATCAGCTGAAATGTTGGCCCTAACCTTTGTATTGGTGTTTGCTTAGAATTTTCCAGTTGGAGCTTCCCTGAAACAAAAGCAGTGCAGCATTTGCTCACTAATGAGAGAGGAATGTGGCAGAGCCTCTGTGGACTCAACGGAGATCTAATAAGGTTTTCTGTCTTCTGTTAATTACAGTGACTTAAAAGGAGTGTGTGTAGGCTGTCCACTTGTTTGAATTGTCAGTCATAAATTATGCATTTGTTTTGGCCCACACTTGCTCTACCAGTTGGAACAAAATTTGAGTGTACTTCATTTTTCCTTAAATAATATTTAAAGTTTACACCGAGTGTCTCAATGATAGAAAATGTATTTACCTTTTTATAAATAGACATAAAATACAGAATAGAGTGTCTGTTGGGGATTCTGAAAAATGAGGCATTATTCATAAAAAACTTATGAAAAATGCTGCAAATATTTGACCCTGCGATGGACTGGCGGACCGTCCAGGGTGTACCCTGCCTCTCGCCCGTTGACCACTGGGATAGGCTCCAGTTCCCCCCGCGACCCCATGAGGGAATAAGCGGTATTGATAATGGATAATGGATGGATGGATGGATGGATGGATTATTCCACAAAATTCTAAATTTAAGCGGCTTCCACCTTCACCCAGTTGTCAGCATTAGTACCTGAGCATAATGTGGGTTTCAGGCAGCAAAACCACTAGCTGGTTGAAATTTGTGAAATTTTTAATCACCGACTTTGCTTTCTTGATGTTTAAATAACCACTGTAAGTTTTTTTCTTTCTTTTATTTCCCCAAAAATGTGTTGATGCTCTATGAGGTGATTTGTAAAAAACAAACAAAACTGACGTAGATTTGTTTCACAAAAACTTTATAGTATATCTTACCCTTATAGAGATAAAGAATTTAGATACCTTTTTTGGTACTTTACTATAATGTAGAGCATATGGTTCCACCAAAAGCTGTGTGTTATATAATCAACCATGAAAGGAAGAATAAAGGATTTTTGGAAAGGAATACAAGATAAAATAAGCTTAGAGCATAGTAACAACTTGTTTCTGCAATGAATTAATGATCAGAAAATCATTAATATTCATGGTTGGCCTGAAAATCTTGAAAGATCTCTTAGCTGTTAGGAAAACTGAGGTGTAACGTTTCTGGCACTATTCAATCGACCTGTTTGGAATATGAGTATGTTCTTGCATGGCGGCCTCTGGAAATACTTTCAGGATATGGTGAAGAAGTTCACCCTTTGCTAGTGTTGTGCCTGTAGCCTTAGTCTGGGCCGTCAGCAGCAGCGGCTGGTCAGGCTGGTCAGGCTGGTCCAGAGCTGCAGCTGCTCTGAAATATGTAATGCTCATGTTGCATCTGAATGATGGATGGAGCAGCAAAATGTTGTGTAACCGAAGCCTCTGTTTACGTCTCAGGATGTATGATGACATCAGCCAGGTGGTTTTCTGTGTGCCAATAACAAGTTTTCCCACTCCATTCTATCCCATTCTAATTACCATTAGTGACTAATTCAGACTGGCAAGTGGCAGGCGGCTGTTGTTTTCTCAGTTTGACTGCTGACAGTATCCAGACAGTATATTATCCCACTCTCTGAGTTTTCAAGCTGTGAACGCCAGTTATTTTTTGTGCCTCGCTGAACAATGACTATACTCTCTGTGGTAATTGAAGATGTACCATATGCTTTTCATTTTTTGCCTGTATCTTAAGCTGCCGATAATCTCCTTGTTTAAGATTCCTGTCACATACTGCTGTGATGCATGTTCTGCAAGCTAACAGAATGTAAAAACAGCTGTCTTTTACTTTCTTGATCATAAAAGGAAAGAAATCACCTGTATTAGTAATATGTGTTATACTATAGAGCTGTATTTAGAATCGATAGGCTGCCCTTTCTGAACCAGGATTGTTGAGGAAAGGTTTGGTTTTTCCTTCAGAGTCTCTCTGGGCACTTCCCACTGTCCCCTGGCTTTTACCCGTCAGCCGCATTACTGTGCAGTAGGGATCTAGGCCCATTTTCCACCTGCTTGCTTTGATGCCCACCAGCAAGCTGTTGGTGAGCTCCATATACACCTTACACTTCTTCTGAGAGCTAATTTCATGCTTTTTTTAGGTGAGTTTTTTTTTTTAAAAGCTATTATCATTACTGATCTTAAACTATTCACAGCTTTAATGATACACTTCCCTCCTTTTCATTAAATTCCAGACATATTTTTTTTCATGGTTGCTTAGATTCTGATCACAGCCTATTTACTGGAGAAGAGATCTTCAGCAGAGCCAGCCGGCTCTTCATCAGAGAGCTGAACTGCCTCATTCCTATCGTAATCAGAATACCATCTGGATTAAGTAGGGCTGAAAAGTGCTGCGTTCAGTCTTTCTATGTGGTGTTACAATTGTTTTATTTATATATATATATTCACATTATTTGCTATTTGTTTAACTAAGTGCGTAAATGTATGTATTATGGTATACTAGAAATAAAAATGAACTAGAAAATACACGTCAAACATACAGCGGCCATTCTTTGTTTTTTAATCGTTGTCATATTTGTGGCTTTGTTTTTCAGTTGGTGGGTGGTGAATTTGATCTGGAGGCGAACTTTATAGTCCAAGACTCCGAGAGCATTGGCTGCATGGTGGAGCTGTTGGAGCACTGTGAAGTCACTTGCCAGGCTGAAATCTGGAGCATGTTTACAGCTATCCTTAGAAAAAGTGTCCGAAACCTGCAAACAAGCACAGAAGTGGGACTCATCCAACAGGTGTTGCTCAGAATGAGTTCTGTGGAGGACATGATTGCAGGTATGACATTGACTTGAACATTACTTGGTGGTTTGTGTGTGTTCATTTTAATATTAATTTGATCTGAGGAGGTTCTTTCTATACATGTAGCTCGTAAAAGAAATAAAAAATACTTTTCACTAGCTGCCAAACAGACCTGCTGTATAGATGTTCTTGAGATGAAAAACTTGAATTGGCTGTGGTTGTCCAGTACAGGCAAGTAAAACAGTTTCATTGTTGCCCCTTTTCAGGCTTATATTGTTTGCTTGTTTGTTCTTTTAGTCTGGTTGTTTGAAGAACTTATGAGCCTTGAGTCTTGCCTGGAACAAACTCAGTGTGCAGGACACTGTTTCCCGAGTTGCAAGCTAAAGCTAGAAGCTATTCAGAATGGGGTAGCAGAAAAGGGAATTTTCCACAACTCAAACCTAAAAGATTCCAAAAGTCTGAGTGAGATCTTTATTGTGAATAACTTCACATTATTACAGCTAAATGTGGCAGTTGTACATCCTGCAGCATCACTGTCTGTTCCTAAGTCAAAAACAGCATAACAAAACATTGGTTGATGAATCACAAAATCTGTCAAATACAGGTGTTGTTTATTATGTTCCTCCCTTCTCTTCGACTTGTTTTCTTTTGTGTTGTTGATGATGATGATGATGATGTCTGTGTGATGTCTTGCTCTGGAAGACCTGCTGGTGGACATGCTGGGTGTACTGGCCAGCTACAGCATCACAGTGAAGGAACTGAAGTTGTTCTTCAGCATGTTACAAGGGGAAGGAGGTGTCTGGGTAAGTGATAACAGGACTAAGTGTTAGCCATTAGACTCTTATGGCTTTGTTCCACCGTTTGAATTACATCCTACGGTTCATAAAAGGAGTTCTGTTTGAATGGCTTACTGCACGAAGACAAGACTGACCAAGTATTAAATATCTGTTGTCCAAAGCTTTAATCTTTACCACCTTTGCAGCCGAGGCACGCAGTCAAAATGCTGTCGGTGCTGAATCAGATGCCCCAGAGGTACGGTCCAGATGCCTTCTTCAACTTTCCTGGCCGCAGCGCCGCAGTAAGCCTTCCTGTTCGATAATTATCCAATAGTTTTGTGTTTTGTGTAGAGAGGCTTACATTCTAACAAGATAAGTTATAAAATACATCACTGTGATGTGAAACTCCAAAGGAAGAGTTGATGTTGAATACCTTTTCTTGGCTCTCAGCAGTTTTAATCAATGCACAACATGATGTAGATTAGCAAGAAGATAAACCAGAGATATGCAGTCTAATGAAATCTCTATCACCAATGATTTAAGAGTTGGTTTCAACTCTGCTCCTCAGAGTCTTGGAGATTAATAGCAAACATACCCAGGTACTGAAACTGTAATCAAGGCTAAATTCATTTAAAGAGGATGGATACTTACTGTTCACTGTTTATAATGAGAAGGCATTAGACTGTAATAGAGTTCAGAAACACATTTAAGTAGCATAAGCATATTTCTAAGATAATAAAAGATATAATTAAACTGACATCAGTTATTGATTCGCAGTAAACATTAATGACAAACATGAGAAAAATTGTTTTGTTTTTTTATTTGAATGCTATTCCATATTTAATAGGAGATTTCAAAGACTGTAGGTTTTTTGCCTTGCCTTTTGTTGATTTATATGCATTGTAGCTGCTGAGCATAACCTCTGATAAGCTAAGCTCAAAAAGCAGTACACATGAATTTTAAACTACATTCCCTCATACCAAATGTTTTTCCTTTTTCTTTTGTTTGTGTTAGGCGATTGCTTTACCTCCCATTGCGAAGTGGCCTTATCAGAATGGCTTTACATTCAACACCTGGTTCAGAATGGATCCACTAAATAATATAAACGTTGACAAGGACAAACCATATCTTTACTGGTGAGTGTGAGTACACACTGACACACATTTAAGCTCCGTATTTCACTCATCTAATTGTTTTCACATTTTTTATGAGAAATCTTACCCTTGCAGAAGCCCGTAAAGCTTATTGACAAAGCAATATAATGCTCAAAATGATGACCTGCAGCAATTTTCTCATCTCAGCAGATTATAACTTTACTTGTATTTCAAGGTTAAACTTGTTCTACAGATGTTTACAGATGATTACACGTTGGCAATATTTATGCAAAGTGGTTTGTGAAAAGGTTTCATTTTCCTAGATACTGCTCATGAATTATAATGGATAAAGAAAGAATAGGGTGAGATTATTGAGATTAAAACTCATACAGGCATGAATTGCAGTGGCTGGAACACTGATTGCTGCTGTGGGACACACTGTAGAGGTATTAATTTAAATTTGAGTAAGTGTCACAAAAGGTTACATGCCTGCTAATGGCGCTTTTGGGTGACTGTTGTTGAAATCAAAAACCTGAAAAGTGCACCGATGCTTGGGCTGGACTAATTCTGTTTAGAGGGGAACTTGGAGAAACCCCTGATTACAATGCAACATATGAAACAACTGTAGAAGTGAATAAAAGAACCAGTGGATGATACAGATGAGGAGACACACTTGGCTGACAGAAAGAGTGATTGGTCAGAAGGCAGTTCAGTCTTATCATCCACTGGCTGCCATCACTTTACCTTGATCTTACAAACGAAATGAAATAATCTCCTCTCATGTAGAAAAACATGTTCTGTTTCTCTGATGTATAACATCAAAAAGAGAGGAGGAAATATTGGTTAAGCTAAGATTTTGGTATTCATGTAGCAGCTCTTCCATACTGACTGTCACATAAAGGGTGAGGTATGCCAGGCTAATCCTGTTTATGTATTTCTCCAAGTCCCTCTCATCTCACCGGCAGGGCATGCAAACAACATGAACAAAAAAAAAAGAAAAAAAAGAAAGAAAGAATTGTATCTTCAGAGGCAGACCAAGCTCCTCCTGCAAAGTGTCTTGGCTCAGTGGTTGTCAGGTGTGGGGCTCGGTATCTTTTTGGCTCTGCAACCAAGCCACAATGTTGAAATGGAAAAACCCTACATCCTGGAGCTGCTTTCTGATAGATGTCTGTGTGTTTCAGATGTTCTCGGTGTGTGGTGAGGCAGGCTGCCTTAAACTGTCTGTTGGAGTGCATTGTATATTTGTTAGCCGTATTTATGCAGTAAAGTAATGGAGTTGTAGGCTGTTTGGAACTGTACACTGTGCTGTAGAAAAACTGCTCGCACTGTAAACACCTTTCACTTTTTATCCACACGATTAAAATGAAGGGACTTGAGCATTACTTTCGCCATGGATAGCAGTGCTGGTCTTTATAGAGAAATACATGTATGGTGTAAACACGAGTACCCTGAAAAAAGCCTAATTTTAGCCACTGAGTGGCTGTGTGTTGTTTAATAGGCTAAAAACCCCAAAAAACTCTTAGGGCATAAACAGATTTTTAAAGTTGGGGTAATTGAATGAATTATTGTTTGCATACAGCAAGACTTTAAAAGTTATTTTTACTCCGAGCTTGTTGTAGATGGAATACGTAATTCAATTGTATTTTTTCCAGAGCTGCGAATATTTCTTTAAGAAATGACAGAGAACAATAAAGAAAAAATACATAAAGAAAAATCTCAATAAGTCTTTTGCTCACTGTGGTTACAGCTTTCGTACCTGCAAAGGGATTGGCTACTCTGCGCATTTCGTTGGAAACTGCTTGATTGTAACATCACTCAAGTCGAAAGGAAAAGGTTTCCAGCATTGTGTAAAGTTTGATTTTCAACCCAGAAAGGTAAGACCAGTTTTAATTAAGTTTAGAATGATTAAGACATTTTCTAGCCTGTCTTCAACATTTAATTATTTAATGATTTAATTAAGGTTTTATATATTTTAATGAATTTTGTGTTTATTGAGTGTTAATAATCATACTTTTGTAGCCATTTAAAGTCAGAAAATACACAAGAATATCAAATTTCCCAACAGCATGTAATTATGAGGAACGTAAAGGAGAGAGCGACTGTGGTGTTAAATTTTTATTTTTTATTTTTTTTAACATTTACTCCGGTCCCCAAATTCACCACCAGTTTTTCTTTTTTTTTCTTGACATGCGTTTGTGTATTTTGGATATCTACATAAATATTTGAATTGTTTAAAAACCCATGATGATTAGTTTAGAAATAAACATAGATGAAGAAAAATGAAAGTTGATGTAGCGTGGAGCATCGCCTCACTGCACCCGTCCCAGGAGAGCAGGAAAAACTGCACGTGTTAAACAATTACAGGCTTTGCTTCACAAGTGCAGCAACTATCTGTCTCAATTTAAGGCTTGCAGGACAGCCATTGTCTTTTAGAAACTTTTTGAAGATAAAGCACACTAAATTAATCTTTAATTGATCTTCCTTTCAACGGATGGGGCTGTTTTAAATGATCTCCTGGGTGCTTACCATGAATCATGTTCTAGGTGTCCTTACCTGTGGGTGTGGATGGCTGGAATTAGACCGTGTCCCTATGTGGCAGACCAAATAATGGCTAGTAAACAATCACTTAAAAGATACACAACCTTAGGCATCGTGTTGTGTGTTTGCACTGGTCTTACCCAGAATTCCTGCTATGAGAAGTTTGTGATTTTAGACACATAATTAGTGTCTCTGTAGTTCCAAAGTACAGAAGAAGCGGCCACTTTTAATGAGTGAGGAGATGCAGATTTAATGATGTTTCACTGATTAGAAATGATGATGACATAACACAACATTGTCAGGAATGTATGCATTTCTTTGGGTCTGTCTCCTTTTCTTTAGTCACCAGTACATCACTGTAACTGTAAAATATTTCTTTATTAAAAGCTAAATCTTCTTAGCCAGAAATGGTAATCACATTTCGATAACGCTTAGAAAAAGAAAAAATCATAATTTACTTTTCACATTGTTACATTAAGTCCTCATTCTGCTGAGCATGTCTTCATTTTCCTGTTTCCCTGTACAGCTGATGTGCTTTACTGAGCTCTTACAAATTAGATGCAGATAATTTGCTTTATGCCTGACAACTCCTTCAGAAAACATCTCCTTTCTCCCATTGAGAATCATAGCAATCTTAACTAAAAGTAGCTTTAGGACTCATTAGTTTACTGAATGTTCAGTCTAAATTATTTGATTGTATACATTTTGTTGTCTTGCTACCTATTAACTTTTCCCTTGATCCCTTGATTATTCACATTCTCTCATTTCACATTTCTGACTATTATTTGACAAGCCTCGCTGCTTTTCCATTAACTTTGGGCTTGTTTCAAGGGGAAAATAGACAAACTCCTCCTAAAGATTGTTGTAGATATTTGGAAATGTTGTCCGACAAACAAACTCTGCTGGATGCTAGATGGATACTGACAGGTTGAATAAGCGATACATTCTGTAGCTCAGTTATTAAACCTTTCCAAACATACCTGCTTCTCACCTTTAGTGGTACATGATCAGCATAGCTCACATCTACAGCCGCTGGAGGAACAGCGAAATCCGATGCTATGTGAATGGACAGCTTGTTTCCTATGGGGACATGGCATGGCACGTCAACACAAATGATGTAAGTAATCTGCATTTAAACTGCTGCCTTGACTGTGATGTTTTGAGCACAGAAGTGTTCAAAGCAAACATATCAATGTTTGTCATTCTCTGAAAACGTGCAACTTCAATATTGAGCACTGAGCTAAAAGCGTTATAATTTATCTTGACTCTCACACAGAAACATTGGTGGACCATTATTTGTAATTCAAAAGTGTATTGGCCCAGAGAAATGTTGCTCTTGATGTGAGGGATTGAATTTTGAGTGTTCTGACAATAAGTCCTTGCACAGTTAGACAATGTTTGCATAGATCAAGGTTGAGACATTGTGTTTTCATTTTTATAAAAAGTGATTCATCTCCAAAATTTCATGACTATATTGTCACATTTGTTTGGTCCATAAAATATTTCCACCCATTATCCAAAACTGCCTTTGTTTGTGTTTGCAAAATCTTTGTGGAGGAAGTTTTCACATTTGTAGAAAAAATTCCATGGTGATGGAGCATCATTCTGAAGAGGAAGATTTTTTTGTCTCTATATAATGGCTCCATGGAATCAAATAGGCTTGTTAAAACTATGTGAGAGGCATGTAAAAATGGAGGCCACTGTATCACATCACAGAAAGAGGCCATTACATAACAGCTTTACTATCAACTGATGTTTTGAAAAGCTTTGCCCATTTTTTTTCATGACAAATTGTAGACCATATTTTATGCTGACACCTTAAGTAATGGTACATGAAGATTTTTCATGTTTACATGGATAAGATTACATAAGGAGAAAGTAGCATCAAGGCTCCAGAGAGAGAAATCAGTTTGATTTAGATGTTAATATTTCCAGTTAACGTGTTGGATCAAGATTTTGATGCTGCTGTTTTATTTTCACCATTATGCTTGTTTAGGTCTTAAATTAACTAATTTCCAGCAGCCGTTGTACATTACACTTTAATCTTTTATGTAACTACTTTTCTTCTGGTGACTCATCCCTTTAAATCGATGCTGCTTTTGTAGATTGGAACATTAAAGAATGTAAATTGCAGGAAAAAAAAAGATTTTTGCCTAAAACAAAATGTGTGGGACTTTCTTTTTCTTTTGTCCCACAGTGCTAAACGTTATCACCTCTTTCTTTCTTTCCTCTGGCAGAGCTATGATAAGTGCTTCCTGGGGTCCTCAGAGACGGCGGACGCTAACAGAGTATTCTGTGGGCAGTTAGGAGCAGTCTATGTGTTCAGTGAGGCCCTTAATCCTGCGCAGATATTTGCAATTCATCAGCTCGGACCAGGCTATAAGGTATGTACTTGAGAGTGGCTAAATTAGATTACATGCAAGCAGTCTGAATCACTGATCCCTCTGTGAAATCGATGAGCAGCACTGCCCTGCCATGCCCGCTTTGCCTTGTGTCTTCGTCCTGCTTTTCGTCCCAGATAAACGACTGAATAAATTACTGTACCCAGGGAATAAAAGCATAGCACAGGGTGGAAAGCAGCAGGAATGAGAAAAGGGGATAAAGTCGCGGGCCAACTTATATCAGCTGGAGTGGAGTGCTTCCAAGATTCTTGACTCCAAATCAGGAATCTGAATGTAAAAGCATGCTGACATACCCAGATAGGGATGGATACAAATATTTATCGTACAGTGATAAAAACTGCAGTTTGTTTGATATTTGGCTTTTTATTTATATTGGCTATTTTAACTAATCACACATTTCCATTTCACAATAAATAAGATGCTTGATTTCTTTTGTATTCTGAGATTATCTACTCTTCTTCAGATTGTCTCCCTTTTACTCCAGATATGTTGGGTATGCGATGCTTCCTGGTGTCGGCTCTGCACTCTGTCCCAAAGGCAGCAGTGATGCTCTGTGCCAAATCATCTCTGAACAGAGAATGTGTCCCAGGCAATTTATAATATCTCTCGCAATTTTATGCCACTTATGTTCCAATCTGTCTGTTTTCAGGACAAAGTCATTCTTTTTTGGGGCAGACAGGGAAAGTGGTGGGTGGCATTGAAGCTCAAACTAAGCTTCACTGGTGAGGATCATTTCAATCAGGGCTGTAAATACCGAAGGACTCCAGGATGAATTCATTCATTTAGGATTTTTGTTTCTGTTTTGCACTAATGACAGGTGACCTGTTGCATTCCTTTTGAACAACAGCTCTTTACTTCATTTAGACAGAGTAAATTATATTTATCATTTCTTAAGATAACAAAGATGATGTTTGTGAGAACATTTACCCTTGAACAGATGTAGCAGTAAAAATTTAATGGTGAATATAATGAAACCGGCCAGGTAAGTCGTGCTGGGAGAGCTGTTTGGTAGAGATTTTATTATATTTTTTCAAATGAGAACTTTAAGTTTGAATGCTGAAGACTGCTGCAGCATACTTTTTTTTTAAAATACATTCATATCTGAGCTTAGCCATTGGGGAAAATCTTCTGCACCGTTTGATTTATTTTCTGGTTCATGGTTGCCTCATCCATGTTTGATGTTTGACATACCCTCTCTTGCTTACAGTGTTTTGTATCTGACTGTAGCTTCTGCAGTTAGTATAAATACAGCTATTATTGCTGTAGAGAGGTTTCATGTTTCTTGCAGGCTATTATTTATTACTGCACTTCTAACAGACTTGTTAGTAGAAGTAGTAGTAGAATTCGGTCCCAAGGCTCAAAATGCTGCATGTTGATTTGTGGTCAGATTTGAGATGGACTTCTGTTGATTTCGTTTCAGTTACCAACTGGCACCATTTAAATACACATTCCCAACTTTGTCTGTTGTAGCAATTTAGTTACAAAATTAGGGTGCAGTGGTGGGGTCCCAGGGCTGATGGAGCTTACTGTAGGATTTTCTTCATTACTCACTGCTGTTTCATCAAATCTTTTTAAAATCTCTACAGAATAACGAACTGAAGATTTCCTGCAAGAGAAATGCCGAACTGTTTTAAAGATGTACTTATTATCATGTATAAGATTAGCATCAGCTTTAAAAAAAAAACTTCCTTTACATGCTGGTTTTTGATAATCACAAAACTCAACCTCGCTCCAAAGCAAAATGTCGTCACTGATTTGACTTGTCAAAATACCTCATCTATGAAGGAACATATTTTGATATGATGCACATTAGAGTTATTACTGTCTTTGCCCATATCAGCACTGTCATATGTGAGCTACATGGAGTCATTTAGCCTACTGAATTTTTGCTGCTTTGCAGTTTGCACCCAGCAGAGTCTCGGCACGTTTCATCTGTTGGTTACAGTTTTACTGTAACTGATCAGTATGGAAGAAAACTTCTTATTTTTTGAGACCATGAAACGTGAAATTTAGTAATTACTCATGTAAAATCTAATGGAATTTAAATGATTTTTAGTGCTCATAAGATAGGTGTGTATAATATCCCAACTAAACAAAAAAAACATTAGTTTAATGTGTTAAATGCTGTTTAATGTTGTGTCTACCGTTTTAAAAAGAGAGCTATGTGTATGAAGTTAATAATAAGGATGTTTGTTTGATAGTACGTATATGGTCGGTTTGAAGTTACATTTATAACCAGGTAACTGTAAAGTGTCCTAACAGTTAAAGTGTATCCTGGTCAGTGAAATATTTAGGCAGCCGAACAGAAGGGGAGAGGTTTTATGAATCTGCTTTGATATAATTCTTTGATATAATTAGTACGTTTGTGGAATGGTGCTGTCATGCTACAAGGTTTTATAGACAAAACCCCTGAGATCCTTACTTTCACACTGCAGCAGCAGTCAGAAGTGCAATGCACTGAAGCTTGTCACTTGGGTTTCTGGAGTAGGACCTTTTGAAGGATGTTAGAGACTATGTGATTAGATGCATGATTGTTGCTGTGCCGACTTGATCACAGCAAATGGTCTGAATATCTTTGATGCATTTACATACTTGACTGAAATGAAATGTGAAATCATTAAATATGGCTCATCCCTCTTATTTTCTTGAGATTTAAGATTCTTTGCTACAATACTGTTTGTGCAATATTTGTGTTCAATTGGTGAATATATCTGAGAAACATTTAAACCGGTGAAAACATTGCAATACAATAACAAAATAAGTAATGTATTATTCTGGAACCATTAAAAGCAATTTGAGCATAGATCTGTGTTAAACTTGTAGAATCTTGTTTATATTACATAAGTATACATAAAGAATAGAGTTAAATTATTACCTTGTATGTCTCCTTTAATAAAATCTGTACTGTAAGAGGTATGCAGATCAAGACTTGTTCCAGAACTAACTTGATTCCTCTCACTCATTTTTCACATTTATTCCTTCACTGCAACTAAGCTATCCAGTTTTACTTGGATTTTAGGCAGGTGCTTGAACGGTGTTTGCTTGTGTTGCTCAGCATAGTGTGGTTTCCTACAGTCCCTCTTGGGCCAGATGGTCATTTCCTCACTGTTACCTCAGCTCTCTGTCTCTTATTACCACATGCCCGCTTGCCCTGGTTCAGAGAGGGAAGGAAAAGCATTTCTCTTATTCATTAATAATTCAGTACCTCTGATTAGTAGAATTGATTTCAGTATTAAACACAGTCCATTCACAAGGCGTTGACAGATTAATTCAGCTCATATGTCTGGAACTAATTGACTGAGTAAATTAAGACTAGTCTGTTATTGATAAGTAATTTGTTACTTCAACTGTAATGAATATGTTATTGAGCCATTGACTGATTGAACGTGCACTTTCAGGCAGGCGCTAAAATGTCAGGAAGAATGTCGGTATATATATAACATTTTTTGGCAAATACAAATATTCAAACCTCTCAATTCCAAAAACATCACTTTATTATTTATCACAATTTCTATTTGCAGGAGTTGAAGACAAATACGTTCAATAAAAGATAGACAATAACGTTATCCTTTCTGAATATTGGCTCAATGTATTTTTTTAGGCCGTCTGGGTAGTTCAGTGACCCAACAGTTCAAAGCACATAGATTTTCAAGCACATGAATATCTTGTAATTTGCTTCTTTTCCATGGATGTGTTTTGGTAGAAAGGCCATTTCGGTGGTTCTCTCTTTGCTGTCTGTTTTCCATTTACATGAGTCCTCATGAGAATTCAGTGGTGACTGCTGTGTTGAAATAGCTCCAAAAGACACTCACATAAATGACTTTGTTGTATAAAAGCAGGTAAGCAAAGCAGCTTTGATCCCTCTTATATGCTGCTGTTTGTTGTAATGATTCTCTGCTAGAACACATAACTATTGCTGTCAAAAGATGAACTTCTGGAAGAAGGGGAAAATAAAAAATAAGCAGCAGAGTAATGATCTCCACCAAAACTCTTTGTATATCATAAAAAAATCATAAAAAGCTGAAAATACAGCAATTTAGTGTATCAAGGGAGAGCCAATGAAAATGATAAATAATAATTTTTTAATCAATTTAAAGTTAAATAACTGCACATTTTTTTATTCTGTATTATAAAGCTAAATTCTATCTCTGCTTTGCTTTCTTAGTTTTTTTTTGTAGCTTTTCTAATTAAGGGTTGCACAAACCTCTGCTTACTTTCTTACCCTCCTTACTTTGCGGATAATAGTGTCAAAGGTTTAACGTTTACATGACTAAAAGGTTAAATTTTTATTGTTGATTAAATCAAAGCATGAAAATTACATCTCTAATCGGCAGAGAAATTGCATCTTCAGAATATTATCCTTCTTGGGTACACTCAGTATCATCCTGTTTTCATTATTAAATAGTTATCTTTTCTCCTAAAGTTATAATTAAAAGATAACACTCAGGAGTCACCAATACAGCAGGAAAGAGATTCTCAGCATATTGCTTATACTTCAATAATTTTTCACTTTATCGCACTTAATTTCCTTATTTGCCCTCTTTTTTTTTTTCAGAGTATCTTTAAGTTCAAGTCAGAGAGTGATATCCACTTAGCGGAGCATCACAAGCAGGTGTTGTATGATGGCAAATTGGCCGGCTCGATTGCCTTTACGTATAACGCCAAGGCCACCGACGCCCAGCTTTGCCTCGAGTCCTCTCCTCGTGAAAACGCCTCCATATTCGTGCACTCACCACACGCCCTTATGCTTCAGGTAAAATGGCCAACCCCTGCTTTCTCTGTGATCACTATTTCATGCACTGATGCATTCATTCATGTTGCTGTGACAGATGTTTAAAAATCACCCGTCTAAAGGTGTGCTGTTGGGTTTCATAATACCCCCACAGGATGTGAAAGCCACAGTGACTCACTCCATCCACAGTGCCATCCACTCCATCGGCGGGATCCAGGTGCTCTTTCCACTCTTTGCACAGCTGGACTATCATCAGCTGAATGACAGTAGGGTGGAAACTACAGTCTGGTAAGAAAAGAAAGTATTGATGAACCGTGAACAATAGGTTTTCATACAGTAGAAATGAAATGCATCTAGTCTAATAAGTGACAGGGCTCATTAAATCAATCATGTGTTTTAATACCTTGATCGTACATATTTTTCTTATTGTGAGCATGAATGTGTGGACTGCATAATGGAAGACTTTCCAACATATTTATAGCTATCTGTATTAGCAGTAAAAATTAAACAGGTCTTATGCATCTAATTGCTCTTTATTGGGAAGTATTTTGGTTTTTCATTGCTTGTTGTTACTATTAATTACTGTTGTGATTACGAGCAGTAAAATACAGTGCCAGAGGATAGGAATATGAAAACTTGGCAAGCAAGAGTGATCTTTTAGCATTTCAATGAGAATTACTCATATTTACATTTGGAAATGTTTGGTTACTCAGTTGCATTGTCAGGACTATCACTAATGAATCCAACAAGAATTACTCTTCATTAAATGGAACAGTTTTTTTTTTTTTACTTAATCTTAGACCAAGCTGTTTTTATTCTTCACTATATATATATAATATTAATCCTACATGCCACTTCTGCTTGGTGGGTTCCAGATGAGGATCACTGCATCATAAGCTAAGAGTTTTGCTGTATCCCCTTACAGTTTTCTAAATCTGTAGTTCACTTTTCATCTTTGTTTCTACTCACTGGTTGCAGCAGCTCTTATTCCTGTCATCTTGAGATGGTCTGTTCAAGGCTTCCCTGCAGTGTGCAGTATGGAGTCAGAGCTCTTTTCTAATCCACTGTTATCTTGACAGCGAGCATGGACATAAGAGTACTAAGTAGCAGCACAAGTCCCAAAGCTCTCTGCCTCCATTGATTCAACTCATCTAAGCTCTTTGTCCCCCTTCTCTTTCATTAGCATGTTAGCATCTTTGACACAATGTGCAACTCTTCAAAACAGTTTTCTTTGTCCTCACTTTAAATTGAGTCTCTTATAAAGCCTGTTGAGCTTTGTGGTTCAAAGCATTTACAACAATTAACTCACGGAGTGTCTCTGTAATGTCCTCAGACATTGATTTTTAAAAATCCATTTTGTATTTCTTTCTAATATTACTTTGTTAACTTGAGGTCCAAGCAGAGGTGATACAGCATCAGCCATTACAGCTCTGCCAAACCGGATTAAATGTGTGCTCATAATTAAGGATCAGAGGATAAATCAAGAGCAGAGTGGTGTGTGATTCAGTATTAGATTTCACTTCTGCTCATAGCAAAGGTGAGACAAGAAATGTAAATTGAAATGGTACACAAACACACACACATTGGATTAAAATGAAAATGTATTTGAGGAGAATGTATGCATGCAGTATCTATGAGCAAGTCTGTACAGAAGTGATTTTGTTCTCATGATTGTTGTGCTAAAGTGGAAACCACTTTATATACGGGATAGAAAGCACCAAGAAGTGTCACCAAGCCCCACTGTCACACAGTCAAAAGAGTTCAACTAAGAAGCTCTGCATTAAAAGAAAAAGAAAAAAAGAAGAGGCCTTTCTGCACTGCTTTGCCCCTTGAACTCATACAGACACATACACACTCTGCTAGAATTCACCTCAAAGACCACCCTCTGTACCCCAGAGAACCCACCAGGCCAACCTCTCTCCTGAACTGAAGAGGGATGAAAGGAGTGAGCTGGAGATCCCAGTTGATTGCTGACATCCTCTGAAAATGACCCTGTTGTTTTCCTTCTTTCACAGTGGCTCCTCAGGCTGCTGAAGTCCATAGAATAATGTATCCACCACCATCACAGCCTCAATCATTTCTTCATCATTACCCCAAGGTCATTTTCAGTAAATAGATCAGTATTTATTCTGATTTTAGATACAGAATCTTTCATTTTTGCAGTGCCACTCTCCTGGCTTTTCTGGTTGAGCTGCTCAAGAGTTCTGTGGCCATGCAGGAGCAGATGTTGGGAGGAAAAGGCTTTTTGGTGATTGGATACCTGCTGGAGAAGGTAGGTCACAGCCTCCATCAGATCTCTCACTTACCGTTATCACCTTGTCAGGGAGCCACCATCACCAAATTAACATTTGATCTCGGCCATAAAAATACTGTCTCTTAACATCTTTGCTATCTCAGAAATCTTACACAAGCTATAATTTCCCATAAACCAAATTAATGGTTAACAGCATTCCTTCATTTTTCCTTCACACTGAAAATAATTTGAAAATAAGAGTATGTCGAGCAATAAATTTCCTCCTTAAAGTAAAGATTAATGAAAAATTACAAGCATGGTTTTGTCCAGTTTTTCTCTGAGGAACCCGCTGAAGCATCTGTGTTGCTACTATTAAGGTGCACTGTGTCTAGTCTCTTGACAGGGCTTTGAAACCACCATTTGATCTTCAATTGCCTCTAGCAGAGCCCTGAATGTGTATTTGGACGAAACAAAACCAGTGAAGGAACCTTCACTTTCACAACCCCCACTTTCTGCATCAATCTTTATTTACCCATTTTGTGATGCAGATCTAGCCGGTGTCCCCAGAGTGCTGGCTCTTTCTGTACACTGAGAAATGACTCCACTTTGTCACTCATTGACTTGCCTGCCTGCTGGCTTCAGATGCCGTACACTAACAGCCAGGCAGAGTCGGCACCTGAGAGCCTTTTTTTTTTTTTTTTTGCTTCCTACCCACCTGCTGCCAGATTTCACACTTTCACATATCACACCATCTGTTCCTGATATTTTTATGCCACACCCTCCATCTTTTCTTGGGCCTTTATTTTTGTTTCATCCCTACTCTCTCAAAGCCTCCTGGACTGAATGCAGGTCTCAGATGTGAGCAATAACAGTACTAATAAAAAGCAGAGTAAGCCAGCCCACTCCACTTGTTTTAACATGTGTTCAAATCCAATAAATTATTAGCACTTATGATGTCGTAAACAGATGCCTTAAATCATCTTATAATTGAGTTGTCAATGAAGGCAAAGTAAAGGCCCTCACATTCCCTTTTCCTGTCTTCCTTAGTATTTTAATGTATTTCATGGCATTTTTAATGATGCAGTTAGTATTCTGAAGAATCAATAAGTGCTTAGACGTTAAAGACACCTTGATGGCACATTTCCTATTTGATATGAGTTTGTGCTTCTCTCTACAGTCTTCTCGTGTCCATATCACCAGGGCAGTACTAGAGCAATTCCTCTCTTTTGCAAAATATCTGGACGGTCTGACTCATGGAGCACCCCTCCTCAAGCAGCTGTGTGACCACATTCTGTTTAATGCTGCTATTTGGATCCAAACACCTGCCAAGGTGAGCCCATGCTGCTACCTGTGGCATAAAATGATGCATATCCATATCTTTAAACGGGCAACATTTTCCTAATGATTTATATCACCATCACCCCTGTGAAGATGAGCACAGCAATGCAAACCCGTTTATTTTTTTGTGTGCAAACACGCTGTGCAGTCAGCATCACAATAGTGTCTTTGTTGAAAAACCCATGTACACACAAAAGGAGTTATTTCTCTCACAGAAGACATGACTTTTGAACCACCTGAAATGTTTTGTTAATTATCTTTCTGCTTAACGTCATCATCATGAAGCATATTTGCATAACGACTGCCCAGTGGCTACTTCGGCACACCTCAAACAAAGAATGAGCAGCTGTCCAGCAGTCGACACATCTTTACCAGCCAGCTGACAGAGCAGAGCACACTGGGCCATATTTGAAAAATAATCTTTAGAGAGACAGTTATTTTCTAGGAGTTTTCAGAAGGTTATATAAGAAAAAAGATACTTAACTGTTTTGTATTTTTTGCATGTAATTGTATGGCCCTGAAAAGAAACTGACCCTGTACATGGCTATTCTAGGGACACTTTAAATTGAGTGAGGCTCCTTTTCTGTACTTCCGCTACCATTTAACTAGCCTTAGATTAACTCTTTTAAATATAACACATTTCTTTTCCCCCGCCTCCGTTTTGATAATGACCCATAAAAAAAGAGATGAGGTATATCAAAGGAGCTGAGTTTTTGTGGCGAAATCATTAGCCTCAGGAGTTCAACTGATGGGGCCTAACCATGAATAAATGAATGGAGGGAATAAATACAAAAGGCTTGCCTGTGATATTCCCCCAGAATAGAGCATATAGAAGGAGGGAAAATTTTTTTAGATGAAGTTTGGTAATGAAGTAGGTTAGAGCAGTTTCAGCTACACTGAGATATAGATGTGCTGGATTCTTCCCTCAGGTTATCAGAGAGTCCAGATTTAATGTGCTATCTGTACCACTTACAGAATGCTGGCGGTGTGTTGGAGCAATGTGCATTAATACAAAGGGCCCCTGACTTTGTCCTTGTAGACAAATAAGATTTTAGCACTTCTTTTTACCCCTCTGTTCTTCTTAGAATCGCATTAAACTGATTGAATTCTGTTATGTTAGAACTCTTAGGCCATATTGCATCGCCACCATCAGCTTTATGTTATCTCGCATTTGACCCAATTCTAAATTAATGTAAAAATATTAAAACATAGTTCAGTATTTGCATTTTATCAGGAATGCAGATTATCACAATTACATGAATGTTATTACATTAAATAGAGCGGGTTCAGTGACCATCCATGATGGTACTCGTATTTCATAGTGTGTTGGATTTAATTTGAGGACACCACAATATGAGGTCTTGTTTGTACACAGCATTTAGTAACATGAAAACACTAATGTGTGTGTTGTCCTTCCAGATACAACTGTCTTTATATACTTACCTTTCTGCTGAGTTCATTGGCACAGCAACCATCTACAACACGATTCGTCGAGTTGGCACGGTCCTTCAGCTTATGCACATGCTGAAGTACTACTACTGGGCCATAAACCCAGCAGATATCAGTGGCATCACTCCAAAAGGTCTTGGTGAGCATGTGAATGTTTTTGTGGATGTTTTTGAGCAAATATAATTGATTTCAACCGATTTCTTTATGTATGATTTTTTTTTTTATCCACCTAAAGGCTTGTAGATGTAAATCTCTGTGTTTTGGGAGGAAACCATGGGGGAAAAAAACAATCACAGATATGGTGTGCACGCACAGGCCTGTTATAAAAGTCCCCCACATTTTAAATGACTCATATTCTAATGGAAATGCTTGTCTGTCAGCTTTTGAGGCTCTGGCCATCCCAGGAGATGACACTAAGGCAGACGCACCATATCAATATTGTCATCCCAGCAGGGTGTGGGTGTTAAACCTCTGAAGCCCTACCCACTAGTCTGACTGGCAGACTCCAGTCTAGGAAACAGCATGGCACCATGCAGGCTGCGCAGGGAACAAGTGTCCTTGAAGTGTCATTTTCCTTTTTGCCCTCAACTATTAGTTTCTGGGACTATCTGCATTATAATAAAAGAGCTGCTTTAGACTGGTACAGAAAGTCGAGTTTATACTGCAGTGAAACCCATGAAGTTTACTTGCTAATGGCAGCAGTGATGTAGCATTCTACTCAGTTAAAGGTTACTCCATTTTACTCCATTTATTTTCTCTCTTACCTCTGTCTGCATTTCATGTTATGCCGATAATCTCTATCATTGAAAAACCTCACATTTATTAAGACTAAAGGAGGAATAGCAGTTCTCAAAGGCAGTTTTAGAATGCTGTCAATGTCTCAGCTTTTTACCCTCTTTAACAGGCCGATTACATCTGTTAAGGCTGTTAGTGCTCATGATAGATTCCCATCACATAGCTGAAGGGATTTCCAGACTAAGTTGTGCTTTAATATTGTTCAATCTCTTATTCTTTGCTATTCTGTGGAGGGAAGCTCATGATATGGGAGGAAATTTAGCTTTGGTATTGGAGGAATATTTTTTGATTGATTTTTTATTTATTTATTTTGTTTGAAACTGTGATAAATGACACAAATTGCTATATTTTTTTGATTGAATACTGATTTAAAAGATATAGATACTGCCCTATTACCATTTAGTAGATAATATTTTTAGTCAGTATTTTAATTATTACATTAATAAATGTATTGATTAAGCAATTTCTAAATTAATATATATTCAGTCATTAATATCGCTTTTATTGCTTTTGTTTAACACGTCTTAATGATTGAAATTTGAAAACTGTAGAGTGAAGGTATTGTAACCAAATGCAAAAGAGGGAACATAACTGAGCATTGTATGTTATGTCGTAATAAAACATAATCAGTACTGACCAGCAGTTCACCAGTTCTGATTAAATCCCAACTTATCATGAGACTGGCAGTCACTGAACTGACTGTATACGCAGAAAGCTCCTTTACAAGCTGTTTAAACTTAAGAACAAGGTAAGAAACGTTGACATCTTTGGGGAGGAATGAAATAGGAAGTTTCATTTTAATTGTTTTTTTATTTTTTTATTCTCACTTTATGGTATTATTTTCTTTGCTTATAAAAAACTAACTATACTCTACAATTACACTTACTCTACTCTAAACCATACTCTAAACATCAATCATCCTTCACCATGTTTTCAAATTAAGCTATCCCTAAATGTATGCTTTCATAGAGAAGCATAATTGCTGATTAGAATGGAATGAGAAACCAGGTTGGCTTCTGGGGATATCGGACTGAAAATGGATTACCTTGCTTCTCTGTGTAATTTTCAGACAACCTGGTTTCATTCATCTGACTGTATTTGGAGAGCCAGTTTTTCTCTGTCCTTAACTGAGAAATGATCAAAGAAACACACACATACTAGCACTCACACGCAAACCCATACAGAAGAGAGAATGCCAAGAAAATAATGAAGATTAGGACACAGAAAGGACATTTTAAACAGATATCCTCAAGATGCTCGTTCTTTCTTTTTATTTAAAGGTCTTAATAGAAAATTCCATCAAATTAAAGCCATGTATCATTCTCATAACACAGAATTGCTCCAAGCACTCATAAGCCAATAGTCATTGCTCAACTCCTCCAAGCCTGTGACATGAATCCACAGTCAGTGGGCAATCTGTCTCAATCCTTTTCACTCTTTTTTTGTCTCAGTCTCCGCCCCACCTCCGTTTGACTAAATAATGAGTAATGACATGGGCACTGAAGCTGCCTGACCAGTCACCACATTCAGTTCAAGCTTGTTCTGTCTCTCCTCATTATCAGAGAAATAACGGCTGACAGACATACAAAGGGGCTTCAGTGGTTTTGAGTTAGTGTCACTCAGCCTTGCAGAAGATTAATTCAGATAGATTGATAAGAAAAGTTCTTGAATGTTAGAAGAGGGCTTACTCATTCTCCTTCAGATTTTATTTCCCTGTGTTTGCCTCATATGTCTCCTGAAATATTTATTCATAGCAGTTTGAAGTCAGCATTATTTAGATGCTATAAACAAAGCGGGTTAAGAAGACATGGCACACAAACACTGTGATTTGAAATACAATAAGTCCCATTTATACTGATGGCTCAGCACTTATTGTTTTGGTTCTGAGTTTATTATCATCTATCAAAATAAAATAAGACTCTTACAGTAATCATACTGGCAATTAGATTTGATAAAACTCTTTATCCTCATGTTCTTGGGAGGTAAAGCTGTTTTTGAATGAAAAGCATGAGGTATGCAGAGCTGCAGGGTACAATTGTTTGTGAGTGACTTGGATTAGATGGCTGTGGTAATAATGTTCTTATCATCCCTTCCTTGTCGGGCCTTGTCCTGTCCTGGATTTTCCTCTTTTCTGCTATTAATCAGTGTCAGGATGGAACAGCACTTGCCTTCCTCCTTTAACCTCGGGGAGCTTCATCACTGATTACACTGACTGGCTGTATAAGCAGGCTAGTCAGGTGTCTGCTGCCATCATATCTATCATCTTAGCGCTGTCCCATTTGAAACGGACATGTGTTCCGTCAAGATAGACACAAGAGATCATCAGGATTGAGAAGAAAAGGGGAACTTAGGCAAAGTGACTGATTTTAATTCAACCTCTCACTGTTAGTATTTGAATACATATACTCATAAGAAGTTGGTTAATACATTTGAGAATTTACTGCCAAAATTGAGTATTTCTGGTACAGTGAGAGTGGTGCCCATTCTAAGGAAACTGATTTGTATTATTTAAAAAAAAATCCTAGTGCCTAGGACACAAAGTGTAAACATTGTTAGCTCTTAGATACTATCTCCCCTGTCATGAAGTAATAACTTTCAATACCAGCTCGGCATTGTCAACATTGTTCAGCTTGTCTGATAGGAATTCATGTTCAAGTTAGAAAGATGTCAATATCAGGCTAACATTTTGCCAAAATGATCTTACGTTGGCAGAGGAATTCTGCAGAGTTATAAGTAGGTTTTGGCCAGCTTGATGGGCAGGTGTGACCTTGGATTGCCTGCCTGAGCACTATGTTGTGGCCACTTGAATGATGAACTAAGTTTGATGAGGCATGAAAGATAAATACATCTGATATGAATTTATCTGCTTCCATTTCTTCCTTGTTTAACAATCCCTTTCTCTAAAACTACAGATGGTCCACGGCCAACACAGAAAGAAGTCATTTCTCTGCGGGCATTCATGCTTCTCTTCCTCAAGCAACTAATTCTAAAGGTATCGTCCCACTGTCTTCGTTCATCACAGTCTCTCACACGAGTGCACAGGGAAAATATTAGATTGTGCCGGAGTTGTCTTTCTAAACGTTTGGCTCGTTTGCTTCTTCATATATTCTGACAAGCATCCGTGAAATGAAATTAAGTTAAAATTTGAAGATGGAGGAAACTTTATTTCAGATGTTATACTTATTTATATTGTTTAAATCAGGATACTAAATATTCATTGTTTCCAATACTGCAAATGAGACAGTCCCCTGCATTAATTATTGTAATTGACTGTTTGTTGACTGTCATTCAGACATATTTAGTACGCTGAAGACACCACTTTGGCCTATGGTACAACTGGCTTGCAGGCAAAATGAACTGAATAATTTATCGCAATTAGAGTCATGAATTGCAAATATTTCAGTGTTGGATCACAGAACATTTAATTGGGGATTTAAATCTTTAGCACCACTTAGTCCTCAGTATGTTGGGATGTTGCTGTCCATGCCCCAGCATGTCTTGTCTTGATGATTATTATTCACATTATGTAACAGGCCTCCAGTGGCAAAGGTGCAGTAAATTAATAAAAATAAACCAACTTTAAATCTGTCTCCTTTAATGTATAAACAAACACCGATCTGGGTTAGGCCCCGCTGTAATAGCCAATCCACTAGATGCATAGAGGTCCCTTTAGTAGATAAATACTGATGTCATTTTTAATGTCAGATAGTTGGTGGAAATCCATGTTACACTGTTCTCAATCTTTATCTCTTTGCCACAATTGAATGCATTGCTTAATTTTTTGTCATGTTTTCAGGACCGAGGTGTGAAGGAAGATGAATTACAGAGTATCCTGAACTATTTGCTAACAATGCATGAGGTACAGGGTCTGTCTCTTTTCCTTGAATTCACTCTGCATTTTGACATGTTCCTACCTTTAGTTTGAGGGTCAGAGATCATCTCCTTTTTTTATTCCTAAATCAGTTTGTTTTATCAAAGTAAATGATAGTTTTCAGTTACTGTTATCACAGCTGATGGTGTAGTTGCCTATCCATTATCCACTGGACTTCTATTATTAAGAGAACAAAGAAACTGAAGCTGCCTGGAAGAGAGAAATGGGTGCATGGATCTCTGTAGCAAGATGGCAGAAAATCTAATTTAGTTACTTGTGGTCATGCTCATGGTAATGTGGAAAGCCACCATATTCAAGATCCACTGAAAAGGTCTAGTGAAGTGCTGTCGTGGTCATAACCAGGAACAGGCACTATATTTTGGCAGCAGAAAGTTTCTTTTGCTAAATACAATATTCCTTTTAGATTATTTTAAAATAGGAGGCTAATTTGTCAAGTCATGACCACATATAGGAACTAGGCATTGTTGACCTCTGCTTTCCATATAAAATTGTCTCCAAAACCAAACTTCTTCAAAAAGAAGTTATCTCTCTTACTTGGAAATATCAATTCCCAGCTAGTTGCTCCACAGTTTTAGTTTAACACAGTATAAAAACAATCCAGTCCTGTGTGTTTTGTAGACTTTGAGTTGGTTTGATTCAGAGGTCAGCAGACAGGGATCTAATTGAGTGTGTGTCTGTGTGCCTCTGTGTGTGTGTCTGTGTGTGTTACGTTGAAAGTCAGAATTGGACTTCTCCAAGGCTGCACTTGTCTCCAGTCCTGGTCACGATTTTCATAGATATGGCTTCAATTCAGAGTTCTTTTAAAGCCATGCAGAATGGCTGTACATTTCTATTGTTCAGAGCTTACCTGCGAAGACCGTCTGAGAAGCTGAGAAATTGACGTTAAGGATTTAGTTAAGGGGGGTTTATGCATTTTGTAAAAATACTTCCTTTAGATTTTTACCAGACACTGTACCAGCTGGACAGTGGCCCTGTGGTCAACTCAAGACTAGCAGGAGGGATTCTATCTTCCAGCTGGCCTGGGTGTGGGGCACTGGAGGAAGCTTCCGGAGAGAAGGAAAGCCTGGGTATTTTTTCCTGTGGTGTTTCTGCTGCTATTGTGGTACATGCTGAAAATGTTGGAGAGCAGATAGAACTGACTATTTAACACAAGTTATGACGATGCACAAAGCAATCCAAAGACACATGGTATTCCCTCACGTTAGCTGTCCATCTGGTTTGTTTGTAGGACGACAATCTGCATGATGTGTTGCAGTTGGTGGTAGCCCTTATGTCTGAGCATCCAGCATCTATGATCCCTGCTTTTGACCAGAGAAATGGAATAAGGTAAGACCATCAGGGGAAAGAACAAGGCACGCCAAACAAAGAGGTCATTTCACAAAAGAAATCTAAACTGTCTGTTTCTGTGTTCTTTGTAATCCGTCAATAATTAATGTCAATAAAGAAAATTAACAGAAGTTACAATATTAACATACATATGTTAGACAATCAGACAAGTTGCTACACTACAACATTTAACACGCCCAAGGTATTGTTTATCTATTCTAAACTAAAGGCTATTTTTATTAGAACTTTCATTTAATGCTAATGGAATTTCATTCTGATGTAAGAGGTTGTCAGCCAGCCAGTGCATGGCCTTTTCATCAACAATGCTGCAGTTAATTCTCTCAAGACCATGTACCGTTGCCAGTTTCCACTGATGTGTGTCTATTTCAGGGTAATCTACAAGCTCTTGGCATCGAAGAGTGAACACATTCGTGTACAATCACTCAAAGTACTTGGGTACTTCCTGAAGCACTTGGGACACAAGTAAGTTACTCATTGCAGTAGCTGTGATGAAGATTTTAATTATACCCTCCAGTGTTTTTCTTAAATAAAGACTGATCTAAAGTTTTCAGATTAATTACAACATTGCACTGTTATCTCGCCCTCTTTTTTTGTAGGTGTTGTAAAGCTCTCAATACTCATGTAATGCCAGTCTTGACATCACAAAGAAAAGAGGGCTAGAAACTGTAAAAATATAAAAGCTTTACAAACACATAGTAACTGTCAGCAGATTCTTCCGCACAGCAACCAGCTAAGGATTTGTGACTCAAAGCCAGTCTAGAAATTTGGAATGCTCCATTTTGTACAATACCTCGAGGCTTGGCATTATGCCCTAAATCCATGAATTCACAGATGAGTGGAAAAGGGTTACCAATCCCAGAGTAAAATAAACTCCACTTGGATAGCGGCGGATCTTCTCTATAATGCACATTCATGTTGAGAGAATATAGCTAAGGTTGGACATCAAATGGTCGGCTATGGTTCAGATTTCCTGAGGATGTGTGAATGGAGAGGATAAGCAGAGGGTGCTGTGCTTGCAGCACTAGGGCGCCAGGTAGAGTGAATGCTGAATGGAGGATAAGGGCAGACATAAGCAGTATGAAACCCTTTAAACCTTTCAGAGAGGTTTTCATAGATGATCAACGCAAAGTCCTACTTCCTTAGGATTTACATGGCTGCTCCTGAGAAATTGAAAAAGTTTCCTGAAGTGTTTTTGCTGAATTAATCGGTAGTTAATATTATCTATAACATTGATGTAACCTATTGGTAATGTTACTGTCCTGGATTAAGTGAATCTATAATTGATTTGCAGTCTAACAGTATCTTATGTGAGTGGTGTGGTAGAAGATCAACTGACTAAACTGTGAGACTAAACTAAAGCATAATGTCAAAGTAATTGTTTCCTCTAAGATATCTTATCAGCACTTTGTTGTGCTGATGTGTTTTTGAGACGCAGATTCCTTGAAAAAAGCTAATTTGGAAGTGTGAAATGAAAAAATTAAGATTGTAACATAAAGTACATTGATTTACATATTGTATTTTTAATTTAATAACCGAGCATGCCCCCTGCTGCTGTGATATCTCTTCAATAACAGTCTTTAATCTTTTCTCACCCAGAAAATTTACATCTAATATCCACTTGTACTGTCATTATCATTCTATGGTTCATTGAAAACAGTTAATTAAAAATGGAGTGACTCTGTCTGAATTTACTTAAAAATATTTAAATCAAGGTCATTGCATGAGGGAAGATGCCCTGTAAGGCTCAGCCTTGCCTAAATTTGAACTGTGTCCCATTTTGCCAAAGTTTTATGGTGTTCTGTTGCAAGAAAAGATACTAATTTCCAGGGTCCAATTTGCTAGCACCAGCAGCGAAACATTGGGCCAGTGGCAACAGAATAACTTTGTGATTGGTGCTGTTAGTGCTGTGACAGCAGTCCTTAAGCTGTTTGCAGATGCCGTTTGTCACTATTGAACCCATTTAGCTGTGGTCTGCTCTGAGTTGGAGCCTTTCCTGGTGACAACCTAACTTCATTACCTTACACACCTCCAACAAAGTCCACCCAATTTATGACAGCAGGCACTTCCTGACACTTGTCTCCACAGTCTCCCCGGCTCAGAATCGGGAAAGAGGCAACCTGACGGAACTGACTGATCCTTCTGTTACAAAGGAAGTTCCAAAAAGCTCTAATACCATTGTGTCCGTGTGTGTGTCCACAGGAGGAAGGTGGAGATCATGCACACACACAGCCTTTTTACTCTTCTGGGCGAGAGGCTCATGTCGCACACAAACACTCTGTCCGTTACAACGTACAACACTCTTTATGAGGTAACAAAACATTTTCCACTCAAATGATATTGGGTTTCTGTGTATAGAGCATGTGATTCATGTCCTCTTATTGCTTCTTGCTCCAGATTCTCACAGAGCAGGTGTGCACACAGGTCGTTCACAAACCCCATCCAGACCCCGACTCCAATGTCAAGATTCAGAACCCAAGTAAGCCTGTCGCAAAGTCTGTTGTTCTTTCTGTCCTATGGAGTTATTTCTTCAAACTGACAGTGTGTGCATGTGTTTCTGTTTGCATATTAGTGATTCTCAAGGTAGTTGCAACTTTATTGAAAAACTCAACTCCCAGCACAGAGCTGATGGAGGTCCGGCGGCTCTTCCTGTCAGATATGATCAAACTCTTCAGCAACAGCCGAGAGAACAGACGGTGAGAGAAATGCTTCTCATCCATTCTATCAGAAATTACATATAGTTTCCCCTCCATTTTACCACAGTGAATAGGTTAGCCCTATTATCGGATTAGTACTCATTACTGGATAATATGAAGAGATGTTCTACAACAGATGTCTGCATGACAGTTTCTATTTTCCCTCTTATACACAGTATGGAATTATTATCCTGAATTGACAACATGGTTAACTGAATGTTCAGTGCTTAGGCTGACAGTGTTAATTTGAGAAAAAAAACAGTATTTAATTTATTTTTTATTTAACCATGTAATGATGCTGTTCTTTTACTTTACATGCACTGAATTTATGTTTGAGACAAGAAACAAAAAACAAGAAAACATCCTTTTCAGAAATCTTTAAAACATGTTTATTCTTTTTCATCTGATATATAATCTGAAACAATTGAAATAGCATTTTTCAAACCTAATAACCAGATAACTTTTTGTGATAAATCTTTGAATATAACCAAGTAAAGTCCACATGGACATTTAACCATCACACTACTTACATTTTGCTTTTTTTAATTGATCAAATGAACTGTGTCACTATGTAGTCAATATTTGGACACATGAAAACATACACATGCTCGCAAATATCTACACAACCCAGTGTGAAGTCAGAAAGCTATTGTCTTCCAATATATCTTAGTACAGAAACACAAACTCCTCTGTGCCGTTGTGAAGGTCCCGATTGGTTCTCTGTACTAATATTTGGTCTGTGCTTTTTGCAGGTGCCTGTTGCAGTGCTCTGTTTGGCAGGACTGGATGTTTTCTCTGGGATACATCAACCCAAAAAACTCAGAAGAGCAGAAAATTACAGAGATGATGTACAACATATTTCGCATTCTGCTCTATCATGCCATCAAGTATGAATGGGGAGGATGGCGTGTGTGGGTGGACACACTCTCCATAGCCCACTCTAAGGTGAGTTTTGTGCAAGGAAGTGAAACAGTGACCTCTGCTGCTGAGGCAGACGATTTTTACCTATCCTGTCAAGCTTCTTCAAAACCAATCTTCATTTATTCATATTTTCAAAAGAAGTTGCTGCTGATGTCTCTGCCTTTTTTTTATAGGTTACATATGAGGCACATAAAGAATATTTAGCCAAGATGTATGAAGAGTATCAGCGACAGGAAGAGGAGAATATTAAAAAAGGGAAGAAGGGCTTGGTCAGCACTATCTCTGGTCTATCTGCTCAGACCTCTGGTATTAAAGGTGCTATTGAGATCAGAGAACTGGATGATAACTTGCAGACACCCGAAAGCGAGACTGATTATGAGGCTGCCGACTCGCGAAACCTGCTGTCTGACGAAAAGGGGTGCGAGGAGAGTTTTGTGAGTAAAGAGGTTACTGTTAATGGGGTCAGCGTTGAAGTTCATGACCTGCTTGTGGACATCAAAGCTGAAAAGGTGGAGGCCACAGAGGTAAAGTTGGATGATGTTGATTTGTCAATTGAAACTCTGGGGGTTTCTGAGAATGGGCCTCTGGTGGAAGTGGATTCTTTGTTGGATAACGTTTATTGTGCTGCAGTGGAAAAACTCAACAGTGACGTCGGCACTATGTTGTTACCAAAGGACAGTATGGATGAGCAGAATGCTGCCCCGCTCATTATGCTGGATGACGACAAGGACAGCATCCCTCACAGCAACAACTTCCTGTTTGTAAAGCCACCAGAGAACAAGTTACTACCTGATCTCAGTCCAGCTGAGTGTGTGGTTCCACCCAGCCCAGAGTTGCCTGCTCATACCAGCCCTCGTGTGGAACTTAGCCTTATAGGTCATGTGATAGGAAGTACCTTGCCCATTATCCTGGAGAAGGATGAGATGCAGACAAACCTTGAAGGCATTAACTCTGAGGCTGGCACTGAAAATGAGAACTCCAAACTCCTGAAGGCCACCGAGGGCACAGCTGCATCTGGGAGGGAAACGGTGACTGATAAGACCAGCTGTGCAGTAGATGCAACAAACAACACTTGTGATTCTGAGAGATCAGATGATGGGAAAGATAAGGAGAGGAAGAAGATTCAGACAACCGCCACCACACAGGTTTGTCTGAGACACAGTTTTCACATAGTACAGTCAAATAAAAGGTAAGTTTGTCATATCTGACACTAAACCTGTTGCTATTTTCAGACTCATTAAATAAATAGAGGAGGTTCAACTGTGAACATAACCAGAAATAATCTGGTTTCTCCTAGACAAAGGAGTCTATAAAGTAGATGGTCATAAAAACTGAAAAACACCAGCACCAGAGTCAAAGAGAGGAAGTTTGGGAGGACAAGCAAGGTTATTGTCAGGATGTGTTGGCCCTGGTGAACAGCTCTATATTAACAGACCTACAGAGATGACTTTCTTCCCCTACTGTGCTTATAATGGGGACAGGAAGGCCTGGTGCACATCAGGCATCATCCCTCTGAGACTCAGGAAACTGGGCTGCTGGAATAGTTAACTGAGCAAATAGAAGGGAAGAAAGAAAAACAGCATTATGCCACTGCAATCGCTTGGGATTTATTCATTGCTCTGCTCCTCTGTGCTCCTCTTCAGAGGTCAAGCTCTTTTGCCTAGACTGGGTCACTGATGGAGGGCCAGTGGGAGGCAGGGTTTATTTTAAAACCTTTCTCTGCTGTTACATAATTGCTCATGTTGAATGTGCAGATACTTATTTAAAAAAGTAGGGCCTTGCTGTTGTGTTCATCTGATATCTGAGGGTAGCTTTGAGCATAGATTCTACTTTTTTCATATTTATTGAGGAAAAAAAGGTTATTTGAGGACCGACTGAGCTAGCATGAAATCTGTTCATGGATGTTCTTTGATGTTTGCACTATGTTATGAGAGGGGTTCATTGACTAATTTCATTAAAAAATATTTGTTTTATGATTTATTGCTCTCTTATCAGACTGTGCATGGCCGCCTCGTCTCTCAGGCAGAAAGGGACATACGTGTGGACCTCGGCTTTAGGGGGGTGCCCATGACAGAAGAACAACAGAGTGAGTTCAGCCCTGGTCCACGCACTACAATGTTCCGTATCCCGGAGTTCAAATGGTCAGCCATGCATCAGAGACTACTCACCGACCTGCTATTTGCACTGGAGAGTGACGTCCATGTCTGGAGGAGGTGTGTGAAATCATTTATGTGCATTATGCATGAAATATACAAACACTGCCAGCCGTTATCCTGCACATGCTGTGTGCTTCCTGCACCTCACATTGTTTTCTGATTGACCAGCTGTGAAATGTGAATTATTTTTTGTATTCATGAAAATCTCTATGCTTTCATCTTTCTCTGCAGCCACACCACCAAATCTGTCATGGACTTTGTTAACAGTAACGAGAACATAATCTTTGTCCACAACACCATACATCTCATCTCACAAATGGTCGACAACATCATTATTGCTTGTGGAGGGATTCTGCCCCTTCTCTCGGCAGCCACTTCTCCTTCTGTGAGTGCTCCCTTCTGATTCCAGTAAAGGAAAGCAACGCCATCTAGTGGTATTTTATCAATGTCTGTGTCCGTTCAGCATAAAGTAACGATGGGGTATTTACCAGTGGGGATAAAAGGACTGCTCTCGCTTTCGTGATTTGTTTGACCCCTATGTGTTGAGGACTTTGCTTTGCTCCGTTTTCTTATATTTACAATTAACCTTTATGTGTATCATTTGATTTTTACTTTTGATCAATCTCTCACTATTGATACGTTTGAATTATCCATCTTAATATTGAATTGATCTAAACATCCGTTTTGACTACACAGTCAAGGTTAGTAATTGTGCCATTTCAATTTCCCCCCTTTAATTTCATATGGCATTCACTGATAATTTGTTCTGAAAATGTAGCTGAATATGTACCATCTTACCTATGAACTGGATTTTCCCTGACATTCCTGATACTTATCTCAGTCACAAAATGTATCAACACTTGCATCTGTATGTGTTTGATGATGCTTCTTTTTGTCTTACTTTTAGCTGTAGAAAACTAAAACTTAAGGCTTAAAGGTGAATATCTGTCAGACAAGACACTTTACATTTTTACTTTTGTTCTATATTACTTGTGAAAGATGGAGTTGGAGAACATCGAGGCTACGCAGGGTATGTCCTCAGAGACCGCCATCACTTTTCTATCTCGTCTCATGGTAATGGTAGATGTCTTGGTCTTCTCGAGCTCGCTCAACTTCAGTGAGATTGAAGCCGAGAAAAACATGTCCTCTGGTGGCCTGATGCGCCAATGCCTCAGACTGGGTAAGAGCTGTTTGCTTAAGTCTTTTTGCTGCTGTAGATGTGAGCCTTATCACTAGGTGGTGTTTGTACACTAAAAAGTGAACAACTAGAAAACCCTTGTGTGCTTGAAGCATTTGATTATTCCTGAAATCCCTGAAATTCTTCTTTTCGAGCAGCAAATCTTCATTCATCTAAGGATCATCAGCTAAACATGCTGTTAATTGTAGAGTAAACATTTTTTCTTTCTTTTTTTGCGGTAACATTCTCTGAGAGACATGACACAGCCTGTATTATAGAATTCACAATGAGCAGAGAGGCTGATTTGCAGTGCAATCATGTTCTCTTTGCAAATGGTATCCTTTTGTGCTTCTCATTACTGTGTTTCTTAGGCATCTACGAGACTCTGCCTGGCCTTTTGTGTCTTTGTTTTTCAGCTGGAATACATTTGAGAAATAATAAATTATATTTGAAGGAAAGGCAAATAACTGCTGAATGAAAAATGAATGAATTGTAGACATTTTATGTATGTTTTGGTAGATTCTTTTGTCAAAAAGCTTTAAAGGAGAGGGTAGTCTTCTCCCCATGTTTTTTTAAGCACAACATGACATTTTTGTCCATATCTGTTTGCGCCTGTAGGTCTTTGGGAGAGCGAGACTGTGTTTGCTTGATTGTTGACTTCAAGTTGTGGTATGGGGGATGGGAAATAGCCTTCAGACTTTAATGTCCTTGTTGCAAACATACAATTTCTCATCACTGGCTTTGGTGTGAAATCAGTCTGGCTTCTGATTTAAGTCATGTTCCCTTTCCCGTCAGCCTGGAACACATCATTATCGGAGATAACTGATTAGATTTAAAGAGGTCACACATTTTATTAGCATTTAATTTCCCTTGACTTTGAAATGAAAAGCTTTTTTTTCTTTTTGTGTATTTGTGTCCAGTATGTTGTGTAGCAGTAAGAAACTGTCTAGAGTGCAGGCAGAGACACAACCCTAGGACACAGGAGATCCTACAAAATGCTGCGACCTCCAGCAAGGTAGTATACAATGTCACCTATCACCATTTCAAAGTAAAACTCTGGTGTCTGAGGCCTGTTGAAAATCTCTCCAGTACAGTGTAATGGCTCAACATTTGACTTACATGATATCACAAAATAACATTTCTGTTTTAGTTGCACCCTGGTAGAATGGTACTCTTTGAGCCTTGATTTATTTAATGATTTCTTACAATAAAAAAAAAAAGTTAAATAGAGCTTGGACTAAACATAACATCATGTCAAAATGTGCTTAGACGGCCATGGAGACTGTCCCTACTGACCTCTGTCCGATCAAGGATCCTGACCGCCTTCTGCAGGATGTGGACATCAACCGACTCCGCGCTGTGGTGTTTCGGGATGTGGTGAGGCTTGTCCGAAGGCTTGTTTGTGCAAGATTTGATTTTTTTTTGTCATAATGAAAGCAAATGATCATGAAGATGACAGCTGTATTATTTTCTGTGTACAATTCATTGTTGATCAGTTTACATGAATCTGAATGACAGCAACATATTCTAAAGTTAGAATTAGTGCTTTCCTACATTTGCATTGAGGTAAGAATCCAGGCAGTGGATTGTGGGAAGTTACAGTCTTTTGGATAGAAAGTGGATTAACAGTTTTGTAATTTCTCTCTGCAGGATGACAGCAAACAAGCCCAGTTTTTGGCTTTAGCTGTGGTATACTTCATCTCTGTCCTCATGGTCTCCAAATACCGCGACATCCTTGAGCCTCAACGTGAGACTTCAAAGATGAGCTGCCAGCCAGGTCGCAGTGTGCACCAGAGTATCAACTCTCCAACCAGCACAGGTGCTGCTTGCTGAGTGTTATCCTTCTTACATTCTGGTTTCTGCTCACCCTATCTTATTTTAAAGTGACTGTGCTTGATTTAGATAAATTCTAAGTATCCACATTCCTCTCCGTTACTCTGGTGCCAGTTAGTGAGAGCTGAAAGCTCATTCAGTAAAACATCAGGGATACCCTGCCTACACTCCACTGGCTCAGCTGTGATTTATTCATGAGCTCTGCTAATTGTGACATTGAGACGTAAGTGTGGAAGCAAGTACTACCAGTTCTGAAGATTGTGGTTATAAACTTGAGTAGGCATCAACATTTGCCATGAAATGAAAGGTAGAAAGTGCCTCAAGTGATAAACAAGCCACCGAGTAACATAAAAGGAAGTCATTACAAAGGTTAAACAGAACGTCTGCTACAGCTCCACTATTTATGGAATGTTCAAGTGAGCATACTTGATCAACTTTCATTCAGATAAAAGGTGAAGTGAATAAAAAACAAACTTGAGAATGAGAAAAGAGGCCAGAGGGAATATGCAAGCGTATAGTAGATAGCTGAGACCACTGAGAAGACGAGCGGTGTAGAGTTGAGAGATGAGACAGCAGCAGCATGCTATTCAGCCGCTGTGGGTTTTTGGGGCAGTGGAGCCAAGCTTGCTATTTTCAGCCCCATCTGTCAGTGCCCATTAGGCAAGCAATCCACCAGAGGAGAATGGGATCATAGAGGTTGCTGGGAGGAGAGAGGCACACTGCCGCCTTCATAAATTTTACCAGAAAATAGGGGAATTTTCCAGACGGCATGTGGCAGACGATTGTCTGATGGACCAGGAAGCCAGACAACTTGCTGGCTGAATCAGGGCCTGCTGACCTCGTTAGGGGGCATGTGATGAATATTAATATGGCTGACCTTACACATAGGTGTACACTGGTTCAGGATGAACCACAATCTGACTGAAAAGTCATCTCACTAGCTCTCTGGGAAAAGCAGCACATTTTAAATAGTTCTTTGTATGTAGCCTGTGTTGACTTCTAGAGCATCTTTCCACATAGAAATCAGAACCTCCATCAAGGTGGGGGGTTATTGGGCAAGAGCTGGGATGCTCTTTTTTTTTAATGCAAAATGTTACTTTCCTTCAGGGAGGAAGAGGCTGAAGAAAGAGTCCATGTTTTCTTAAGATAGATGGAGGATAACACAAGCAAATTTAACTTGAGAATCAGAGCTTCTGGAGCAAGATCCAAGAAGCTTCCCCGCCACGTGGCTGTCAGCACATGCTTTATTTACACTTTGGCTGGGAATATATGACTATCTCAGGATTGCTGTTTTATTCATGATATTATTCATGAATTATTTAATTCCAAATCCATGTTCTCCAAACTAATGTCAATGTTAACATTCGGTTGTGATCTATCTCCATACAGTATAAATTGTCTGACTGGGTATCTATGACAAAAACCTTGACCGGTATATAATAACGGGTACAGTTTGTATGGCACTTGCTGATTCACCCTTGTCTTCCACAGATACTCCAACACTTTTTCAAAGCAATGAAAATCTTGTTTTATCAGAAGACCTCCGCTTGGAAATCTCCTTACCCCGCACAGACTCTGTGATAGGAGATGAGCAGGTAGTCAGTGTCCTTAATGGGCCTCACTGGGATCACCGGGCGGGGGGACCTTGTGCCATGGGTGAGCTCATCTCCACGCTATGCACAGAGGGCAAGAGGTCCAAAGACAACTTGTCTGAATCTCCCAATGTAGAGATGCTTAAACCATCACCCTCTAATACCAGCATCAGTCAGTCCAACAAGGGCATTAATGTCAAGGAGATTTTGAAGAGCCTTGTAGCAACTCCACAAGAGGGCCTGGAGGCTGGACTGGAGCCTGTGTGCTACCCTGACCCAGCTACCAAGGCACAGGCTGTGCTGCCAGTGCAGTTTCACTCCTTTGACAGGTGAGGAGTTTTCATTGGTTAGTAGCCTAGTCTCCTAAGAATGAATTTCAGTTATTTCTTTCTTTTCTTTTGATGTTATTTGGGTGATTTTTTCTTTTTATTTCAAGCATTTGTTGTACTCCATTTGGTGAATGTGGTGTATTAATGTTTGATTGTATACTTATTCTCATTCCCTTCACTGCATGTATTAACCTTCTGAAATATAAAACATTGTCTGTCATGTCCAGAAAAACTACCTCACCTTATCCATCAACTTTTGTTTATAGATAGCTTCCAAATATTCAAATATTTACCGCAATGGATTTGTGGAACGGTTAGTTAAGCTATGTGCAGTCTCTCAAGTGACCTTAAAATAAGAAAGTTAATCCTTGGATTTATCTCTGTGATGCAGTATGCCTCTAATGGTTTCTAAATAGACTCATGCACATTTTTCATACCAGTCCATTTGTATTGTGCTCTTTCCCTTCAGCAAAGAATAGTGTGTTGGAAAAGATTCCCCAAAGCACTGTTGTACAGCTGAAGTTTATTTACATTCTTGGATTAGATAAAAAACACACAGTTGTCTGTCAGGATTTGACTGTTTACAAAACTGCTGCTGCAGGGATTTCAAGCTTCAGCTCCTTCCGATCCCCGTTTTTTACGGCTGATGAATTTGAACCAAAAAAAAAGTTGCTCGGAAAACAAACTCCTTAGCACTTACTTCTTTAGATTGTCGTCACTTCAGACACTGTAGGATGCACCGAGTCCGACACAACAACGGGGTCTGCCTTCTCCTTATGCATTCTGGAGCAGAGCTTGATTGAGGTGAGCCTGATGAATGGAGGAGAAGATGGAGCAGTTTGTGGGGAGAGGGCAGCTGACAGGGCGGGGTCTCCTGGGCGCTGATGACAGATTGAACAGAAGTGGCCACGCACCACACCATGGCGAGCCATCGCCTTCACCACTCACATCTGTAATGGAAAGTGGCAGCCTGAAATGAGTTGCCAAGGCAAAGAGTATTATTTTTGAAATGCGTTAACACAAAGCCTCCTGACCACATTTCCAACTTGGTCTCATGATTTTCATGTCACTCCCTTCCACTGCCTTTATTTGCTGTGTCTAATTGTTTGCCACCTGCCAGTGAAACGAGCTGCCAGCCATGGAAATGCCTTTCATTTTCTGACGAGGCAAAAGTAGATTGGGAGTGACAGCATCAAAAAAGGACACAAAAAATGCTCAAAATGAATTGCATAGAGGAGGATTCTCTTATCCTGGAGGGGTTTAAACCAGATGGAAATACAGTAAAGAAATACCTCAGTAATCCTCAACCTTTCTCTTTTGTCCCCAAATTAGCCTAGTGAGATTTTGTTTGCTCTTCTATATTTAAGTTTTCACATGATGGAGAAGCAGGATAAGGCTTTTTTATTGAATCTGGGACTGGAATGTAAGCACAGCATTTTTTGCTCTATATTTTTTTCCTGTATTTCCCACCCCAGCTTTATTGGATTAGAATCTTATTTTGGGATTCATAAAGGAAACATTTCTTTGGTTATACTTTGCACTGCAGACATCTCTCGCAGCCGCAAACCTTATTAATATTCATCCTAAGATTAATCCCTGCTTTATTCTCTGCAACTCAATTAAGACAATCCTTTTAATAAAATATGCACTCGATAATCTATACATGATTCATGAGCACTTGGTTGATGAATTATTCAATGAAAGCAGTCCATATTTTATCAACATCCTGTAGATCTAATGTAACATCCTGGCAATGCCAAAGATGGAGTTCTCACACTAAGGATAAATGTGAAAAGCAAGATAAAATCCACACCTGGTCCCTACAATCAAAATAAGCCATTGATGTTCTAAAATCCAGCATTGTGATTTCATTATATTGGTACATCGCTCTACTAAATAAATGATACTTGTCAGTGTTCTTCAGAGCAAAGCTGTATCCCTGGTGATGTTAATATTTAAGATGGCTTTCAAGCTTTTCTCCACTCTCTCGTCTTCTGCTCTGTGATTGAGCTCATTTTGATCTTCTGGTTTCAAATGTTTTTATTTTTCTGTTATTTTTAGAATTGAATGTGAATTTCATGTGTTTGCAACAGATTAACTCAATGCATAATTTTTATTTTTGTAAGATTTTACATACAGATAAAAACTGAACAAAAGTACTGGTAAAAATGCCCCGATTAGGCTTTTTCCCATGGTGGGTGTCTTTGAGGTTGATCTATGAGATGGACTAAAAGAGCGACAACGGCTGGCAGTAAAATTCAGTGTTTATTTTATTTATTTATTTTTTGGGAAGGATATGTGGGGATTTGCCTCAAATGACAACAGGCTTAACTTGTAACAGTGCTAGAGCCTGGCCTTTGTCGCCCAGAGTAAGAGCAGAAGATTGGATGAGATATTATCTGGCTCCCTAACAAACCAGAAAGCCAACTCCAGACCCGATAAGAATAAACCTAGCTGTCAGGCAGATCTTCCAGGGTCAAGTTTATGGCATCGTCTTTAATCCTGGTCCAATCAGACTCTATGGAAACAGCAGACAGCAGTCTTTGTGGATTTTTTAGGTGCGTCTGTGTTTGTCGATGTCATGTCACAGGGTCAATTCTCCACCAGCTTTTAAAAATAACTGTTGTTTTTTACATGTTTCAGTAATTTCAATTTTTGGTACGATACCTTTTTTGGTAGCTTCTGTTGATTAAAGTTATTCCAATTTTTCTAGGTCTTTATATTTTCTGAAGAATTTTTACAGTACAAAGGATCTGAAGCAAGAATTAGAGTGTGTGTGTATAATCCCATGTACCATGTCTTTCGACAAGAATAGTACAATCTATCGGCCTTTTGAAGTTTGATTATTTGAGGATTTCAGGCAATTCCACAAGCTAGAACACTTTTTCGGCACTTGTGTGTACTGACATTTTGACGTGCTTTCATCAGGTTTTCAGTCACGCTTTGTGTGAAAGACTGGAAGTCATGACAAGTCCTTCTGCTTACACCTTTTTTTTCATTTTGGATAATTAGCTCGTTCAACCATCCAATCAATGATTAAGCTTTTAAAAAAATGTGTGACCTGCTTATTTATGAGGGCTATGCTTTTTTGCTAACTTTAATACTGAAATTTGTTATAGTTCTCTGCTTAGGAATATTATTTTTATAGTTGTTAACCGTCACTCAGTAGTCTGTAAAACACCCCTTAAGGCCTTTCACAGGTTTTGATTTGTCTTTGCAGAAACCTACAAGTAGTTCTTTCAGGATGTTTGATTCCAGAATTGACCCAGACTCCTGCTGACTTCCTTTTCTTAATTACAAACTGAGGACATGGTTGTTTGAAAGTTCTCATCTGACTTCCTATGTTCCTTGTGGGCATCAGCAATTTTCTATCACAAAGTTCTAAGCAGATGCTCTAAGGAGCTAGACCGCTAGAAGACCCAGCATCTTTATGAAACCTGAAAATGTGTACACATTGCCCTTTTCTCATATTATCTAAGAATTAGAGAGATGACTTTTTCCCGCTTTCAAGTAATGTAGTAATAATTTGTTTTTCCTTATATTTGTTCAAACGAAACTTAAAAAACATATTCTCTTGCATTATCTTGCATATAACTGATTTATAATAACTTTTGGAATCTTTTCCTTTAATTGTATATAGTTATTTCCCTTATTTCCCATTAAAATCAATTTTGAAATTGAGTTCAGCAGAAACCCTGAATGGGCAGGAGCAGATGTAAAGGAAAGTCTAGTTAAAATGCTGATCATCGCAGCATTACACACATTACTAACCTCTGTCTCTCATATATATTTGTTTGTGCTTGTTTGACTTTGTTTGACATTTACCATTAATTAAGTGAGCATACGAAAGCTGGCATAGCCCAAAAACATCAAAATGAGATGATCAGCTGTATTTTTCTCCCAGAATCATATAAATGAAAATAGTTATTTTTGCTCCTGTGCTTGGGGGGTGGGGGGATTTCCGAAAGGGAGAATTGAAGTTGGAACATGAATGGATATTTTAGGATTTCTTTGATTTTTACTTCCTAGAAAAGGGCTGAAAACCTCTTAGCAAAACACTGTCTGTACAGAGTCAGTTAGGAGAGCTTTTAAAGTCTGAAGCTAACCTGATACGTGGCTGATTTCATCCCAAATATCAGGCGTCATGTTTATTATTCACATTATATATGTGGCTAAACTGTATACTTCAGAAGTTGTCTTTAAAAAAAATCCTGCAGATTTTACCCACAGTTTTAGTTGAATTTGGGTGAATGATTCAGTTTATGTCTTGAAATACTACCCTTTATGTAACATTACACCCAAATATTAGAAGTTTAATGTTTTGGCCAAGCTTTTATAAATAGTGATTACTCTAGTTTTGTGTGTTTCTTTTTCCTTTTTCTTTTTTTAATGGATCTGTAAATTGATTATATTTATTTTGTCCAGGAGTGTGGTACTGCCTGTGAAGAAAAGCTCCTCTGGCAGTTTAGCGGGTGACCCACTCGGAACCAGCAGCAGCACCCCCCCCGGGCCCACAGCCACCACCACTCCCAACATCTTCGCCACTGCTTCTGCAACACCCAAAAGCATGATCAACACTACTGGTAAGTCTTACAAAAGGTAACTAGGCTTAACTTTAAAAAGAAAAGATCCATGTCTCAGTTCAGTTATAGGTATGTTAGTTTTTAAATAACATTTACAAAGGGTTGTTTTTCTTAATGAGTTTGAGTTATTTTTATTTAATTGATTTCATTCCAAGATTAGAAGACAGACTTTATTTCTGTTTTCATGGCCCTGCATGCCTTCATCAGTACCACTAGATGGCTCTCTTCACCCTTCCTTTATAGAAGGCGTTCTCTCAGCATAACAAAAACAGCTGCCCGACAACCAGCGCTGCTCCTCCACTTCCCCAATTTAAGTCTGTTGAATTGGATGCTGTAGAACAATACCAAGCTAACTATGAGGTTTAATTTCCACGCATAGCTTACCTCTTATGTGCTTTACATAACCTCTCTCTCACTCTGCTGTTGCATTTCTTCTCCTGGGGCTCTGCTGGGTTGAGTCCGTTTTCACCTCAAAAGCTCATGTAGTCAGAGCCTCTGAAAGGACCCGCTTAACACGTAAAGCCATTAAGAGGTCCAACACCTTTTTTAATATGCTGTATTACATAAAACTCTCCTCTGAGCCCATGTGCAGGAGTGGAAGAAATGTGTCCATGTAAAACGTTGCTTTCAGAGAAAACCAGAGCCTCTCAAAGACCCTTGATCTCATATTTTTAACTTTTCAAAAATATATTCAGAATGGTTTTATACATATAAGTGTGCTGCCAAGAACATGTGAATTATTGCCTTTTTCATTATGCTGCTAAAAATGTGTAATTGCAGATTTAGAAAAGTTCCCAATTCATTTGGTTTAGCTCGAAGTCTATCAGCAGCCAGCTTATGACCTAGTTCACAGCTCTCATTATTTCTTTGTTGCCTCTTTTTGTCTGTGGTCGCTTTTATAAATGATATATTTCTTATAAATGTCATATATATGTGTATGTGTGTGTGTGTTTGAATGAATATTTATGGTGTGTAAATAGAACAATATAACATAAAAAACTAACACTCACTGGAAGCTATGTAATTGCATTTTGCCCTGCATTAATGTTGCAGTGATTACTGATTCTGTTTGTTTTTGCAGGAGCTGCTGAGACGGTCCCTGCCTCTTGCTCCTCTAATTTTGTCAATGGAGCTACAAGTAAAAATCTTCCAGCTGTGCAAACCGTGGCCCCCATACCTGAAGACACAGTGGAAAGCACAAGGTAAAAAAGGCTATTGGACCTCATCTTTGTCTGCTGTTACTTATCTTATTTAGGCACTTTTCTCTCTCGTTTTTGGCGAAGTTTAGCATATGTGATCAATGATTTACTTTTCCATTTTAGGATTATCTATTTTTTTATTTTGAAAAGTCCAAATGCTGATATCGATCGATATTAGTTCTTACGTATGACTGTTTTTATTTTAAATTTGATCGAAATTAAAATTGCATCCAACAAAGAAGTGGTGTGTAATATATATTTTATATGTACATTAAGGAAAAAATTGACTTAATTCTAAAAGTAAACATGTATGAATTGGTTTGTATACCTGGTTGTGACCTTGTCTCATCTTCTCCACTTGCTTTAATGGTTTGTGGCAGATGTCTTTAGATCTCTTCTCCCACTGACTGCTAAGAGCCCAGGTCTTACTCCAGAGTCTCTGTCTCTCTGTTTCCTCTTACCCCAGTGTGTTCTGCAGGAGGAATAGAGATTTGGTTGCCATGGCAGCAGTAACTGACATCACTTAGCGTAACTCTGAAGTCAATGATGGTATTATCTTGCTGCAGAGCTTGTTAAACGTAAATAGCTATTTTTATTAAGGATAAAATATCCTAGCTGATGATTGTGTTCATTTGTGTTGTTATCATTGCAAGTTCATGAGATCTGTCACAAAACGGCTTGAAGCAGGTGCTGCCTGTTGTTTGTTTCTTCTTTTTTATTTCAGTGTCTTTTGTGAAGTAACCCACAATCCACAGCGTAAGAGACTGACACCTCCTGAGCTCAAACCCTTTAGCTCTCCAACAGGATTACAGGCAGCCTCCAGAGATGCAGGCCAGTGTCTTAGGCAAGGACATCTATGTTAGTCACCTAGACCACCTCCCCACATCCTGCCTTTTATGCTAGTCTGTCATGCCTCTGCGATTTATTTTTTTTATTTATTTTTCCCCCAAGTTGCTGGAAGGCAGATTACACCACACATTCATACAAATGCCGAACCTTCCCCGTCTTTTTCTTGTTTTCTCTATCCTGCTGCTTTCTGTCCATCTTAACGGGGAAAACAAGCTGCAGCTTTCCCCGTGTTGCCTTTTTTGTATCTGTGTGTGTACACAAAAGAGCACAGAGATATGCTCAAGCTTGAACCATTTCTCCGTCTGTATTCAGTCTGAGTGGAATGGCTGCATGCCTCCAACACAGTTTTCCTGAGGTGCTCGGATTGTGTCAGACGGAGGCAGGTTCAGTAGTTAGTGTGGTGAAGAAGTGCCTCCACAGTCTTAAACAACTGTGATCTCACCTTCAGTCCTAGTAATGTATCGCACCGAAGAATGCAAATAGCTGGTTATAGGTGTTCATATGGATTTTTTTTTAAAGAACGAAAAAAGACCCTCTTGAACCCTCTGCTACTGACATCTCTCGTGATGGCAGACATGCTCCCATCTGGTTTGGTTTGCATCTTCTAAAAATGCATTGGTTGTCTTCACCATAACTGTAATATGGAGCCACGGCCCCACAGCTGGTAGCTATGTGTGGTACTTATACTGCAGCTGTACATTCTGTTTTTCTACCTAAAATGAAAGTAAAATACAGATTTCATATTTGAATGTTGGTTCAATTCAAGTGTCTAATTGTCATGTATGATTTCTTTCTTGATGTGTTCTCTTTAACAGTATCACTACAAAGCTGGAAAGGGCCTTGGAAAAAGTAGCCCCTCTGCTAAGGGAAATCTTTGTTGACTTTGCACCTTTCCTATCACGCACCCTTTTGGGCAGCCATGGACAAGAGCTGCTCATAGAAGGTATAAATGTTACGTATTTGGTGATTTCCTGTATCTTTAACCCTCCTGTTGTGCGTATTTGTTGCTACCTGGAGGTCTGATTCACGCTGACTATGTCTGCTTTCTTTCTCATGGCATGAGTTTTTGTTTTCTTTGTCTCTTATTTCTAGATGCAATATTTTTAAAATAACAGTGTTTCATGATGACAAAAAATTTACATTTGAAAATCATTGTGGAGATAGCTGATGGATTGTACTTGCTATTTTTAAACTAAAATGTTTCCAGGTCACACTAACTTGATGAAAAATGGGTATCTCTTTTTCGTTTATAAAAGGGTAATTTCTTCTCTTTTGTCTCAGCAAATATATGACGTATAACAAGCCCAATGCTCCAGCTGGCATTAAATCTGAAAACCGTCTTCTTGTCATGTGACGGCGCTAACCGCTCTACCATTACTGCCCATCTGACTTGCATAACATGGAAGAAAACTAACTATTGCAGAGACCTTGTTGAATTTTTCCAGTAATGCTTCAATACATTTTCTGTTAGCAATAATGAAGTGACGGAAAATACGCAATTCATCTTTTGCACTCCACTCCAGCCTTTATTTCCCCATGCCTTCCGCTGGCCCCAGATTGGCATCCTCTCACAGTGTAGCTTGTGCTGGCATATGTGGGCTCTGTCAGTTTTGTCCAGGCTCAGGTTGGTTTGTGTTTTTCACGAACACACTGCCACCGCAGACGGCACGCGCATTTGCATGACTGACCTGCACGGCTTTGTGCGTGCTGTTAAATATGTGTGTTTGGCCTTGTGATTCTAAACTTTGGAGTGAAATACTATATCTGCCTTTTTTCATTGCTTTTAGAAGTAAACTAGACCACTAGTATTTTCAGAGGTCTATGCATCAAATACAGCATGTTGAAAGAATGCCCTCATCTGATTTAAAAACCTTTCAGGAAAGAGGTTTTTGGACACTATGTGCCATTTTTGTGAAGCACAGTTTATTAACTGGTTTATAAACCATACAAAAATGAATTTGATAAAGCTGAGCATTCTATATTTTGGTTTCTCATTTGTTGGCATTTGCTTGTTCTTACAACTATATCTGGATTTTAAATGTCAACTTGGATTTTTTAAATTTTGTTCAAAAGTCTTTTTAAAAAAAGTTGTAAAATCATCGAGTCAGTTCTGTCTATTTGTATCACTTAGTGAATATGACAAAAATCTTATCCAGCCATTTCCATCTACTCTGTGCTCATACCATACTATGTAAGAGGACCCGTGGATCCCATACATGTGTGGAAGAGTCTACTGCCTCAGTGCTGAGAGAGAGGAGAGAAAAATCAGGTAGCATAGCCTTGACAAGTGTGAATATGTCTGTAACCCTTTCACTCAAAGTCTGTCAGCAGACTGACCAAGCTGACAAACCAAAGCTGATCTCAGGCTGCAGACTGTAACCCCATAAACAAGGTTGTAGATAGACAGCTGGATCCCCAGCACTCTTCTCTAAACATGTTTAACCCTATCCAGGTCTGAGAAAAGCTTTATCTGACAGGGATTAGAAGGGGTTTATTTGCAGTCAACTTTCAGTAACTTTGTGAAGCCAACCCAGATTGTCCCGTTTGCTCCCCTCTCTGTTCCTCTGTCGGCCTTTCTTCCCGGTCTTTCCCAGGCACACAGTTGAAATACTGTGCTGTGGTGCAAAGGCGCTCCATTTACCAGTAATTACCAGCCATCCATCACTCTGTAGATTGCTTGGGGTCAAGCCCTCCTGTGCCCTGTGTGCCCCTTTGCCTCACCCTATTCCTTCACCCCCTTTCCAGACATGTGGTCACTGTGGCAATTATGCTGAGTGCACTCGGAGCTTTACACTTGGAGTTGGTGGGTAAGGGCTGTGTGCGAACACTACTGCTGTTGTGATGCCTGCCGCTAGCTTGTTGATGTCCCCTGAGTGGCCCAGCCTGCCGCCACATCACCCCACAATGCCACATTCACCCATGCCTTAACCCTGCCCTGTTTACAGGAAAGGACTGGCAGGGCGTGTTTAAATAGAATGCATTTAGTTTGTCTACCAGCGCAAGGCCAGGGTCAGCTGGCCACCTGACTCCTGTGTCAGAATGGACTGACTTATGGCTTTTCATGTCGCTGCTATAACAAGAGGTCAAACGTGGCAGTCTGTGTACAAGTGAAGGGTCACATCCTCTCTGAGTGTTTACAGTATGTTCCTTTGGACGGTCTCAGCTCATGAACAGAAATTGGTGGCAGCAAAATGATCCATCCATCTGGTGTTTGCAGCCGATTGCACTGTTTGATTTGTTGTGCTTTATTTCAAAAGGCAAAATTATATTCTTATAATGTTCTTTAGACCTGTTATAGGAGAATTCAGTCATTGGCTAGGGGTTTACAAGCACATCAATCATTTAGTTAATTTATATACTTTTATGATTTATGAATTAAGATGTCTTTGCAGTTGTAGAATTTTACTATTTTGTCTAGCTACACATATATTATGTACAAGCAAATTTTACTCACAGCAGATTGGGTCGTTCATTTTTATTTGACCTATAAGATGTATGTTTATATTAAAATGTGATATTGTTTGAAACATTGAAGTTTTTAAAGATGGATCCATCTTTAAAATTCTATGTAAATAATGATTGTCATAAACAGTCATAACAGCTGATATTTTGATTTAGATATAATACAAAACATATGGTCAAGAATATAATTTATGAGAAGAAGAATACGGATGTTCTTTCAGCCTTATGAAACAACACCAGCAGCTGTGTGATAGCTTGAATCTTACTGCTGACCTGTAATGAGTCATAGGGAGTTTCTTTTGCTTCTTATCGCACCTCTTATGATTCTCACCAGGTGCAGCAGAAAGGTGCAGAATATAAGACCAGTTGCAGACTTTGTTTCTACAAATGAGCTTTTCTCACCTACCCATGTTTCATTAGAGAGCCGTCTGCTTCAGTGGCTCACAGTCTAGAGTGAAGGTTTTTCAAGAAGCTGTGAAGGTCTTCTGCAAGCTTAAAATGTGTGAAAAGAAGTATATGTGTGTGTCAGTTAAAGAAAGTGCTCATATTTGGCAGTTTATTCCAGATATAGAGCAGAACTAATCAGTTCCAAACACAGCATCTTCATTGAAGTGAAACATGTTTCTGTATGCATAATTTACCTTTAATGAGACCCCTTGTTCTACCTCATAAATAATTCTAAAAGTACTGATGATTTCCATAAATATTTTTTAGACCATTTTGCTCATATTGACATCTGTCCCATTTATCTGTCTCCAAAGGTTTAGTATGTATGAAGTCAAGCACCTCAGTGGTGGAGCTCGTCATGCTGCTTTGTTCTCAGGTGAGCCTTTTATTCTTTCTCATTCTACTCTCGTCACGTTGGTTACAAACAGAATTTTTGAAAAAAAAAAAAGTATCAGAAATCATCTCGTTTTATCTTTCTTACTCTGCGTCTGTATATTCTTCTCGTGAAAAGTTTCTTTAGCAAAGTGCCCAAACAGATGAAACAGACACAACTTGCAGAATCCAGTGACTTTCTCACTATAGCCCATGGCCTTAATCCCAAACCCTGTCGTAAAGAATGCGTCCAACCTTGTGTAGCCTTGCTAGTGACTGATCACCTCTGAGCTGACCCCCTGAATCTCTTGTTAAGCCCATGTTTTAGAGAAGGTCAGAGCCCTGATGTAGCAGTTAGAACAGGAGATATTTAACATACCTTCTGTCAGCCCATCAGTCTTGCGTCAGGAGCCCATAAGGAAGCCATTACTTGGTGCCTCTGTGAATCCAGACTGCTGGGCCTGAGACTTGAAGAGGTGGATTGCTACTATGTGTGCTCCTTGGTATCCACAGTCCAAAGCGTTCTTCAGCAGGGAGCCCGGCTTATTTTATATGGAGGTCATTATTCTTGGGCTTTTATCCAAAAATGTACGTAAATGGGGAAGCCAGTTGTGAGTTATTGTTGCTCGTATGATGGTTTTTGATGGACTCCTTTTTGTGCTGCTTTTCAGTCTGTAGACTGTCTGTGAGAAGTTGTCTTTTCCAGTTCTAGGATTTATTGCAGATGAGAGCGTCAGCATGCTGTTAAGGGTCTGAGTCCATCCCCCTTTACACAGATAGCATTACTTTGGCTCCAGAGGTTCCTGCCATTAGGGGCTCTGGGGATGAAACCCAGGCTGAGATATTGATCAGGCCGTGAGGCCATAGGACTGGACCTTATGTCTTGGATTCTATAGGCTTTTGAATAGAAAAAAGCCATTACTTTAGTTCCTATTTCTACACTATCTATAATCAATACACTTGTGTTACCAGTTAATATGATTAAAATGTAATGATGACTAACGCAAATGACAAATGACCACTTTTAGTTTCCATATTACTACTTTCGGATGTAAAAGGGGTGTTGTAAAGTATCAGGTATGGTTTTTGGTCTCACTGTTGGCAGCTTTGCAATGTGCTTATTATTGAAGTCATTGGTTGCATCTACAGGGTGATTTTGGAATCACAGCAGGTTTCCTGAGATTCGGGGTGAGCTTCGGCTGACATCACTGTGACACGCCAGTTTTGACATCTCCCTCACATATTTTAACTTTAATGTTTTAAGACAGCCAGTAGGGCATTTAGCTGACCTTTAGTCCCTCTCTGTTTTGTGACCTGTCAGTTTTATGAATAAATTAGTGCTAATGATCTGCCTTTTCTTATTTATGCATACTAATCACAGCAATCATTGTGTGGCCAGACTCGGCTGCAGACACTGTGTGTCTTTCCTCAGCCTGGGCAGCTGAATGAAAAGGTCAAGCAGTTCTGTTTCTTGTAACAGCTTAAACATATAGAAGGGGATCTAGAGTGGAGCCACAGAGATTTACTGATGGAGGGCCTCCAGATGTGCAGAGTATAACAGAGCAAAGCCGAGTAGATAAAAGCAAAAGCTCCCGCATACTGACAGGTTGGATTGAAACACCACAAATACTTAGTGCCCTGCTGAATTTCAGGAAGATGAAAGTGGGAGGAGAGTGATTCTTCTTAGGACCTGAAAGCATTTCAGTGGAATGGGAGTTGTGGGATTTTAGGTGGTGAGTTTTTCAAAGATAGAATGAAAAATGGCCCCCTTCCCATGTGAGCCACAACATTATCAGTGATTTTGGAACACGATCTGTAGCTGCATAAAAAAACTCACCTGCTCTTGTGCTTCTGAGCATTTCAAACTCATTTGAGCAGATAAGTTGTGAGCAAAAGTCCAAAATCTGAAATAATGCAGCTCTTAAATACAGCAAGCTCATACTCGAAACTAAAACAAATGACCAGTGGTGCTTAAGGCTGGTCATGCTCTGCATTTACATTAAGAATCAGATGTCTCTCTTGTTTAATTTTTTTCCCTTTTTTTTAAAGAGATCGAGTCAGGCCTAATTCTCTTCAAATGGGTAGCCGAGGACTTTTTTAATCTCTGCAATCAAAGGCAGCCTCCATTGGGAGTTTAGCTTAGCCAGAAAAAAAAAGAAGACGAGGGCCTCTGAAGTGTTATCTCAGCTGTCAACAAGCATTCCTCAGACACGATGGCAAATATGACTAGTTCCTCCCATATCTCCACTGACCTGCTGCCACTTTCCTGGCATAACTGAAGTGTCACATCTGCCTTGATTTCCGTGTTTATGTTTGTCACGTGAGCGCGGTGAGAGCAGAACCTCGGAGGAGTGGCTGTACATGAACCCTGTCCAAATCAACAACAGCGTTCTCCAGGCAGATACTGTAACTGAGGAAAAGGGGTCATGGGGAACATTTGGAGACCAGATGCTCAGCAGTTTGTCAGCACCATCTCTCTGACTTGACTGAATGCATTGTAGGGTCAGACTGTGTCGTCTTGCATGAACCAGTATGTGTCAGTCAGAGCAACTCTTCATGAAAACATTTGCCCATACATAATAATGTAATGTCAATGTCAGTTATTCTGGTGTACACAAGAAATGCTGCTTACCTCGTCTAGACAGAGAATTAGGAGTGTGTAGAACTGTTTTACATCAGGTGTACCTCACAATTTTTATCATCAGCTTCGCTTTCATTATAAATTACTTTTGCATTCATCATTACTATCCCTCAGCATGCCTGAAAGTTTTTTTTATACATGTGTGTGCGTATATATACATACATATATATATATATATATATATTTGTGTGTGTGTGAGAGAGATATATAAATGAATGAACACAGTCTCCAAATTACACCAGAGGCCGTTTGGACCACATCGTTCTGTGTTCTTCCTTTCATTTTCTTCTGTTTTCTCTTTTCTTTTGAACTGTGGCCTTCTCTGTTTTCCCTTTCATTTGCACCTCAGTGAAGTTACAGGAAAGCTGAATTTCCCACAGTGAAAGGCGCGCTCTCAAACTGCTTTTTAATCATTTCCAGAGCATGTTGTGAGACAGCAAGTGCTGGCACTCCGGCCCATGGCTCGGATCCCTTCCAGGCACACACTTCAGGCCTCAGTGAGCCTACTCAGTAATCTGTCACTGTAAGGGACAGAGGAAATGGCTGTATTTAAGTGAGAGGATACAGTTTCATCCCACAATTACATCTCTCCTGTGTTTACAGATCTTTTCACAGAGGAAGAAAGGATGGTCTCACATGTGGTGCAGAATTTCAGTTTTTTATAGCAATCTCATTTTTCCTCAAAGGATATATCAACTAAATGCTTTTTTTCCCTACTTGAATTACAAGCTATGAAATGTAATCCAAATTACAGCTGAAATATGCAATTTGCGATATGAAATGGGATTCTTGTAATGCTTTTTCAGATATTTACAAGTATTCCTTTAATCCACTTCTGATATAAATGATATATGTTGTTCTTTTGTGCTTAATATTTAGGCAAAATAATATACCCGTCAACACAAGGCTTGCCTGTAAAATAAATTCCTTTTTTTCTTTGTTTTTTCTTTATTAGGAATGGCAGAACTCAATTCAGAAGAATGCTGGTCTGGCATTCATTGAGCTAATCAATGAAGGAAGGTAATACATCCATATCTGTAACTAATTAAGTAATATCACACTGCTTAACAGTATTTAATAAGCCTTTGTTCACAGTATATGCAGCCTATTTTCATATTTTGTCTGTCAGTCATTTTCTTTGCATAGCCCTAAAACTCTTCCTGACTGCACCGCTGGAGGCAGAGACAATTGACAATTTTAATAGTACATATTCAGAATATTAAAAGTAGAAATTAAACAGCCTCTTTAAATATCAGCCTGTGTGTTTTTTACTGTGATTATTTCCCTGTCTACCTCCTGCTCCTTCTTTGGGAGTGGCCAGACCCAGAGTTTTCTGTGGAGCAGATCAGGGGCGGCTCAGCCTCCATGCCCATCTGCTGACCCATCTGGCCCTGCCTCCTGTATGCCCAGGCTTTAGCTCCAGCCCAGCCTCTCCCGCTGGCCTTAGAACAAAGACTTTTAGTTAGTAGGGCCACACAGCGCTGTCCAGGGTGCTGCTGACAGACACATACATTTCCAGTCTTCCTCTGGACTCTATACACCTTGTCTAAGTGGACACAAGTAGAGGCTGGTAAACATATTTGCTTGACAAGGTGTGGCTGACAAACATAGTTTGATCAGGGTGTGTAACAACACATAGAACAAGGAATTGTGTGTTGTTTTTTTGTTTTTCTATTGTGGTTGTCTGAATGGCAGTCTAATGTCAAACACACTAAACATGCCTTGATTGGTTGTGGAGAGGGTGATAATATTTCAATATCTGATTAAACCTTCAGTCTCGAGGCTTTGTAATTTACCCTGAAATGAGAAGATGCACAGTGTCTTGTTGCCTTTATTGGCAGAATTCCAGTGCAACACATAGATCATTGCCAAATGGGAAGTTTAGGTGTTTCTAGTCTAAATTATTTATAATTCAATTACAGCGTGTGATGTAAAGTTTGTTGATTGAATGAGAAGGGCAGCTGACCTGAGTTCACTGTGTGGGTTTCTGCAGCACAACCAATTATCTAACTGTAGATACACAATATTAACCTCACAAAACAAATGTCTTTGAAACAGTTGGTAAATATATACATGTATGTATAAAACCAACATTTTCCTTTCATAAATATTAATGTTGAAGCTTATAAAAGTTATATTCCCAACACATACAAACCAAAATGTCTCCAAATATCACCTGACAGCTAGCTTTCTAATCTATTCTTGGTTTCTAAAAACAAAGCTTGGCATTGTCAGCCCCTGTCTTTGAACATTGAACTTCTGTTTATTAATGAGTGCTTGTCAACACTCGGAGGCAGAGGCTGATGAATGTTGAGCACTGGATTATTGACTCTTTTTAGGAGCAGGAAAATCACAATCTGTATCAAGCATTGGAGAGGAACAAGGGCTGTTTTAATTAAAACAAAACTAGCCTAATGGTGTGTAAAATGGTGTGTAATCCAACCCCAAGATCCTGTGCACCCTTAGTTATTAAGGATATTGAATTTTAATGTGAATGAGGTTGGAGCTCTCTACAGTCAGTCAGACTTGTCAGCAGTACTGGAACAAGCTGATGTTTTGGTTAGTTAGGTACCATGCTCAGTCAGTCACAAGTACCCCACACGGGCAGTGGGACTCTAATAACGCTATACCTGCAGCATCGCAGAACAATACAGACAAGTGATGATCTTTATTTGTCTTCTTTTTTACCAAACAACACTTTACTCCATATTGAAAATGTATGTTTGCCCCATTAAAAATGTCCATGAATGGAATTTATATGAAACCTGTTTGAGCTTATCACAGTCCTATGCGTGCTTGTTAGTCACTTGTGACAATGAGGTTTATGTTGCATTTAATATTCTTTACAATCTTAAAGGTTGCTGTGCCATGCTATGAAGGACCACATTGTCCGGGTTGCCAATGAAGCTGAATTCATCCTCAACAGACAGCGAGCGGAGGATGTCCACAAGCATGCTGAATTTGAGGTACTAACTGTGCAATCTCTCATTTAATGAGATGAAAATCACACTACTTATTAATTTGCACATTAGTGAACAGTGCTGTTCTATATCACTGGCTCTCACATTTTTTCTAATTTTTTCATCTGCTGTGAAAATAGAAGTTGTAAATCTTCTAATGAGAGCTAAACCAATCCTATTAGTATTAAACAGTCATTCAACTTTATATGCTCAGTAATCATGCCCCTCTCTTTCCTTATAAGGATTAACTCCTTACACTTACAATTCTAATAAGGCAGGGTAATTACCGTTTGCCAAGGGACATCTCGACAATATTAATTTAGGACTCGCAATACTTACTAACTTAGAGTTTAACCGTCTTTGTATATATTTGGCCCTCCTCTGTTGAACCAACATTCTTTCAAATATGAAACGCAATCATTAGAGTAACTGCAAAATATCAGAAGTAAGTGTATATTAAAGAATGTCAGAATGTGTTTTCAACACACGCAATTTTCTGGCACCTCTGTTAACAGCTTGTACATGTGAGGAGTGATGAGTTTCTTATCTGGGAAGAGCAGCCTTCCCCAAACAGCTGCTTGATATACAGTTCTTGAGGATCCTTGACCTGCAAGATAAACTGGAAGAGACGGCTAGATACGCAATGTCAAGAGAGAGGGGGAAGTGTACCTGGCCCCATCCACTCTGTCTGCCAACTCCAGACAGCTTACACTTTTCATCTGGGTCTGACGTTACTTTATTACACCCGCTCCTAGATTGAAGATTCAGGACGCAGATATGACATTTTACAATTAAGTCGGTGTCAAGGAGAAGCCTCATATGCCTTAAAGTGATAAACAATCCTTGATATTTGTCACAGTATCACGTGGTAATGTTAGCTGACAAGCTGGGATTGAGTTATCTGTTTTATGAGGAATATGTTGAAGTATAGTATCTGACAGAATTCAAATTTGAAAGAGGAAATTCAATTAACTTCCAGCCTCTGTTAGCAAATTAGATTGTGAATATTAGCAGCCGTCCCCTCAGGGTGGACTCATGAGACAATCCCATTTTAGCAGCAAAGAAAGTCATATGTGCTCCTCTGGTTTACTCTCAGGCACCTGAAGCACTTCAGTGCTTCCGAGATGCACGAATTGATGTAGCACTGATATGATATCAATATTTATTATGAATGTTTCTGCAGGTTACAGGACAAGATTGGGTTATATGGTACACTTAGTGATAGAAAACAGCAAAATTTTGGCAAACATCTACCGCTTTAAAAATTCTTCATATAACGGCACTATAGCACTGTAAATCTATGGAGCATATTCTTTGTGGATCTATTAGAGTATTTTTCTTCAACTATAATGGCTCCAGCCACAGCCAACTAGCAGGGAGCCTCATCTGTCTACAGTTTGGGACTGGACTGCCTTCATGCGCTTGCCATGATTTACTGCACTCCTCTAAGGGAGAAGAAATACATCTCTCAGCTGTCCACTAATATCTTTATGCACTCAAGTGTGTTGAATGAAGCCATAACATTCCTCGGAGTGACAAATGCTCCTTTAGGGGAATATATTATACTGACTTCATTCAAGGAAAACATTCTCAAATGCTATAAGTTTGAGACATCACTTCTGTCAATAGTTACTGCACCCAAACACATTAATATGTGATGTTTATGTGTTTGCTTTCTTGTCAATTAGTCCCACTGTGTCCAATATGGAACGGATAAAAAAGAAGAAGAGAAGATGTGTGACCACCTGATCAGTGCTGCTAAACACCGAGACCATGTGACAGCCAACCAGTTAAAGCAGAAAATTGTCAACATCCTGACCAATAAGCACGGTGCCTGGGGCACACCGGGCCAGAGGTGAGAAGCCTTGCACATGCTCTAGTTCAACTCCTTTTCAATTGTATCAAACAAAAACAGTAACTGTACAAAGTAAATATGTGCCATCACAATTGAAGTTTCCTTTTTACAATAATGTTCAGGGGACAGGACCACCAGTTAATGTCATTTTCCCAGGATCCAGTAGGGTCAGCAATCGGGTCAGCAAATGCAATTACAGTGCAGAGTGGCTTAATCTCCTGGGGACGGTTGATTGGCCAGTCATCTAACATACTCGGGTGGAAGAAGGGGGTTGGGGTGTTTCTACAGCATTGTCCAGGCATTCATTGACCCACTCAGTAACACAGCGCAGCACCTGGTGGTAGTTGCAACTTTTCCCGTGGGCCCTGTTAAAATAACCAGCAGCTCTCCACCTCTTGCTTGTGTCCACATGTTTCATCAGAAACACACTGCAGATTGGTAGAACCACCTTGTTGTGCTAGACAAACAGCCTTCAGAGGGTACACTCAAAACACAGTTCACCTAAAGTCTGTAGATCTTTGCTGTTTGTTTAAAGGCCAGGCGCTTGAACAGTGCATATCGAATTGTCATTATAATTGGAAGAAGCTAATTTTGCCTGTCTCTCTGCACTTGTAAATGTAGATCCTATCTGTCGTTTGGCTTATCCTGCCTTATGATTCTTGGAATAGTGAACACAGTTATTTTGGAAATTTGTATTTATCATATTCTTTCAACGTTTGCATGTTTTAAAGAGGCAGTTATTTTCCTGTAAATATTTTCAGAAAGACAGTCAAATATTATCTGGACTGCACAAAACATACCCTTGGTGTTATGCTAATCGTTTCACTATGAGTGAGAAGGTTACTGTGTCTAAGAGCAGATTTTTCTGAAAATGATGGAACTCTAACAACCCGTAAAAATGAATTGGATTAAATTCAGGGCTCTTGTTCAAATATTTATGGAGCCCCTCTCAGAGGCATAGCATTTGCATTGAAACAAAAGGTTATTGAGCGTGGGTGCATTGTAAATGATGCCGCAAAACTTCCAACAAATTCAAATTTAATGGTAACCTGCTGGTGAAGAAAAATGATGCAATATGCTCACAAGCTCAAGGCAGTGTTGCAGTTCAGCAGCTTAGTCTTATTCACTGCTACATTAACTTTTCCATTTATGCCGCTCTTGTAAAATATAAAGCCCCCCAGGCTTTTTAAGATGGCTGTCTGTTAAGTGTCTGCGTGTGTGCATGTGTGCGTGTGTGTGTGTGTGTGTGTGTGTGTGTGTGTGTATTAGAGAAAAAGAGAGAGAAAGCCTTTACTTGGTAATATTTGTTTTCACCCTCATGCACAGAAATTGTTTTACTTTTAAGTCATACATTTTGCCTGGGGACATGCCAGTGGATGTTTATCATTAGGCTAGAATGTAATATATCCAAAATTATTCTTAGGAGGCAAGTCCACAGAAACTAACACGATTTGTTTATATCATGTTCTTTACGAGTGTGTTTGCAGCTGCTCTCGTAACATGGTTAAAAAATCTACTCGCCTGTTTATCTGAGGTCCACACATTTGCAGGTTGCATCTACTGTGTGAGAGCCACTTAATTTTGAGATGTTGTAGCATACGGCATTGGTAAATCTTGTTTCAGCACAAATGATAACAACCAGCTTCAAGGTTATAATCTGTGCAAGGCCTGAAAACAGCTACTCTGCAGCCATGGGCTCTGACTGGAGAATAAGCAGATAACACCCTGTGGCCTGTTTGATCATACTATATGCTTGCCTGATGATAAATGTCCCCCTGTATAGAGTCAGCATAGAAAAATCAATGCCCCTCAAATTGAAACAGTATAGGTTTGTATTGATCCACCATGCTAAATCAAAACGAGGAGACTTTGATACATCTCTCCAAGACAGGCCTCAGCTCAGTAATGACACACTATCAATTTTAGCTTTACTCTGATAAATCAAGTTGAAAATTGGATGTCAGGGTTTTTTCCAGCAAGAGAGTGATTTTCCTTGCCCTGTGGTCCCCGCTGCTGTTGACCTCTGAACCCTGCCACTGGATTATAAAGTTCAGGCTCGTCTAAAGTGAAAGTAGATGTCAAGGTGAGACTGATGAATACTTTGAAGGCTAACAGCCACCAGTTTTTCAGCTAAAACCTCCATTCAGAGACATTATACAGTCTCTCACTCTGCAGAGGTCTTAATTGGACAGCTGAAAGAATATTGCTCTCTTAAATGTTTTAAACGACCTCATTAACATCATTAAGTGCTGTTGCATTTACATGCATTACATATTAGTGTTGTGTTTTTTTTTTGTAAAAAAATTATTTGTTTCTTAAACATTTAATGATATCTTTTTTGCACTTTAATTTACACCCTCATTTTTAAAATCTGAGTTAATGGCTTTTCTGTCATCCCCTATAATTCATTCATTAAAATTTTTAATAACTGTTAACACAAACAAAATCCAAAAAACACAGAAGAATACAAAACCTTTGTTCCAAGACCAGCTGTATCGCTGACAGCTGACAGAGGAGCCCTAGCTGGCCTCTACCACAGACCTTAACCTTACCTGACTGGTCTATTGATTGTCAACATTTCTTCTGTATAATTACTTTTTTGTAGCAAAGGAGAGAAAGGAAAATGGCGGCATGTATTGATCTGCGACAAGACAGTGAAACAGCCGTTTCCCTTGACTAACAGTGAGTTTCATCTCTTGCATGTGATGAATGGTAACAATCTCCTCCTGGATAATAACTTTGTGATGGAATGAACCTTTTTTCTCGCTATGTACCCAGAGTATTTGGTCTAGGCTGAAAGGGTTATCAATTCTAATACAACTCCACTACTACATCACAGGTGGGCACCTTTTCCGACGGCTTTACAGCCTCAGAGGGTTTTAGGTCTCATGTCTCTTCTGGGAAACAAAAACGCTCCCCATAATAGAAATGATAACAGTGAAAACATTATTTTTGACACTAGACATTCAAAATATTCTTTACTAGCATAATGAGGTCATTTTCAAATCGTTTCTACAAATGCCCTATGTACACCCATTTTCATTTCTCAGTGCATTTTCTTGAGAAGGATCATCATATGCATTTAAATCTACACGATATTGAGAGACGTTTAGTTATTATAATCATTCTTTACTAATTGGATCTTAAAACATGGCGCTCCTTTGTTCTTGCTTACAGATATATTTGATATTCGCACTTGTTCTTGACCTACATCTGATTCATTCCCTTGGGGTAGTCTTAACCTTGTACACGGTGCTAATTATCTTTGGAAAGAGGCCCATTCCCATAATCATCAATTTCATTGGGTGTGGAAATTGACCTGGGCATTGCTTGACTGTGCCACATTTCCCATGAAAGATTGGTTCTGCAAAGCTGGCAATTTAGGGGTGGGTTCACGATCGGTACAGTGTGGCTTCTCATCCCTCGTCTGACCGCATACGTCTGTCTTCATTACACCAGATGACCTGGAGTTAATCTTGCTGCCGCTCCGTTGTTTCCCTTTTGTCTTTGTCCAATAGCCATTTCTCAGTGGGTCTCTTCTGTATCTCTTAATCTACAAAAGAATACTCCTATCAAATAAGCAGAAACATTTGGATCTGAACTTGGCAACCCTCCATCAGCAGCAGTGTGGAGAGCTCCGACGATGAGAAGAGCTAAATTAAACACATGCAAGTCGTGGGTTTTATTTGCAGCCCTTAGTGCAAATGTAATCATGATGCTGACTACAGAAATCTCACACAGGATCAAATTTGGAGTATTTTTATTGAGGAAATTACTCTGCATTTCTTTTCTCCACTTTATAGGTTACTTTGAAAGATATGGATGCATCACCATATGGTTGCCAGTTGTCACTTTGCAGCTCAGTTTTTTTTTATTCTGTTTTTTTTTTCCCATCGCAGCAGGATGTCAAAGAATTTGGCATGAAAAATTCCCCAAATAATGCGCTGGTTGACAGAAAATGTTTTCAGATTGCTTTGTTTTTTCTTTTTCTTTGCCGACTGCCTGATGGTTTTCATGATGTATTATATTCCTATTATTACAAAACTACATATCTGGTTTTCATTTGACCAGGGACACAGAAATGGTTCGATGAACTTGTGTCTAAACCAAATGAGAGGTTGTAGGTTTTCCTGAACAAAATATTGTGACAGATTTTTTTCAATATCAAGAAATTTGAGTTACACTCTGTTCTCTTTTGTTTATTTCACCTTTTGCAGCCCTTGTGTTTCATGCTTTTTCGGTGCATGGACACTTATTTCCAAGGAAACTCTGCTATATTCGTGGTTAGTCTGTTGGGACAGCTGAAAATGAAAGAAAAGACCACTTGTCCTTCGAATGTCACTTAAAACTGATGTGTGCTCTTTCTGTTTGCATGCATGACTGACAAAAACCAGTCACTGCTTATTTCAATAGATTTGCTGCTGATTACTGGTATTTATTATAATTACACCCGTCTCATGTCACCAGTTGGAGCTTTAAAAGGAGTATAATAGGGTTTTATTGAATAATCATGTCCCTGTCCTTTCTCCTGATGCCCCACACAAATCGGCTCTGAACAAAAGTAGAGTAAAGAGGAATTCTTTAACCATGAGAGATTTATCTGTCTGCAGTGCAGCCCTGTGCATTTTTGGTGACCCGTTCTGGTCTAAACAACTCCAGAAACATTTTTCTAACAGATGAAGTTACATTCATTTCAAAGATTTTTTCCCTCTCTGTTTGTTTTGTAGTCATAAAGTTACAGGGAATTCTTGTCGATTTTGACCCTCGACCTCCACCCTCATTAATATAATCCAAAATAAGTCTGAGGAAATGTTTATAACGAAAATTAATAATTATAGCTCTTATGCTAAAGAAACATTACAAATATACCACCTTGTGATGCAATTTCTGCAAAGCTGTTGTCAATCCATCAAACCCCTACCTGTGTTTTACTTTCAGCCCTCCTTCCTCTTGCAAACAAAACACAACAAAACACAATCTCTGTGCATGGAGCTTGTGTTATTGTCCTATATATGCACTAAACTCTATAGTGGCACCTTGAGGAAAAATGGGCCTCAAATATCTATTTGAAAGAGAGGAGAATAGACGATAGCTCCCTTACACATTTATCCAACTGCACTTAGCAAGTCTGAAAGCCTCCATAAATAATGGTGCTCCTGTTTCCTGTAGGTTATCAGTGCTGGAAAATTAGCTTTTAAAATGCAGTTTGAAATCCATTTGGGTGATTGATGGGTGATGGGACTAATAAATTTTGCCAGATTCTAGAGGGCCGGCTCACAGCAATTTTTTATGGTTGTCATGAAGCCAGACACATTCGATGTGTGAAATGAGGAGGTCTCATACCACCTCTGCTTAATGAATCCTATTGGATAGGCAATTTGTTACAAAGACAATACAATCAACTATATTTCTGTTCGGTAATTTTGAAGCTAAATTTGTCTTTTTATCACCTATATCAGTGATTGACCACCCAAAGATTTTACGATAATAAAAGAACACCTACATGTCAGCTTAGATGATGCAAACTCAACCATATGCTTTACGGTTCCAGTCAGTTTAAACAGTGACTTTATGCAAACTCACGAAAATCTTTTACCTTCCTAAATTTTCTCAGTGAGAAAACCTGGACATGGTCTTAGTTGGACTGGTGCCACCTTCCTTTTTCTTGGCCAGTTTTTTAATCTACTGCTGGGTGCTCCACATCACCCAAATTTGGATAACCATCAGTCTTCCTGAGCAGCTTCTGGACCACCCTCAAAGAGAAGGTTCATTCAGCACACTTTGGAGAGTCTAAATCCGGCCAAGCACTGACCACATAGTCTAGAATATCACAGGTCCTACTCATGCAGCTGAAAACAACTTTCAGACTGGAACCATCTGCATAGCAGATCACAATATTGCTGTCCAGTCCATTAATCAGTCATTGTATCTTGAGGGTTTGGTTTATTGTTCATGTGAATGCTATTAAAGACGAACAGAGATATTTGAACTAAAACTAAACTCAAATGAGCAGCACTAAACAGGCCATATTGAAATGCAGCAAATGCAGATAATGCTTTCAGAAGGAAATCCTCAAAGTGAGGATTTATCCTTCTCTAGCATCTGCGCCATACTTCCGCTCAGAATGAAGGGGCATAATCTTCAACAATAATCGCCCAGTTGCCTCCAGTGGATTTACATTTTTCACACTGTGTAATCTTGCATTTACAATATCATTTACGTGGGTGTCTACTTTCCACCCACTGACATCTCTCTTCTTCTCTGTTAAGCTTTGAGGGAGATTGGCAGGGGAAAAGCTCAAGGCACTCAGCCCTGCTTTGCATAGACCAGCTCATGATACTTTGTGGATACAATATGTTCACTCCAGCACTCACGTACTCACTTTTGATTGATACTTAACCGAAACAGAGCTCTTGTTGCTGTCAAAGCCCAGCTAAGTCTCCTGAGCCTCTTGATTTCTGACACTGGTAGATATTATATTCATGGAGCAAGGAGGCTGTATTTTGTGATGTGATCCCATGTAACACTTTAATCCTTTCAGACTGTTTCAATACTGTGGCAGGGAAGGGGGCAGAAACTGTACAATGAATGATGTTTTCCTGCCAACAGTCCTACTGTACAAAGAACAAGATGAAAAATCTCATCTTGAGCACACAACACTGGATTCAAGGCTTTTTTAGGGGGGCAGTTGAGTGGCTTTTTAAAATACATTTAAGTTATTAATATTTTGAAAATGAAAAAAATGATAACTTATGTAAACAAGGACAAGTAATATCACAAGAATTGCTTGTTTGTGTAACAAAAAACAAAAATCTTATCCACGCATTAGCTGAACAATATCTTACAAGTTCCTGTTCATTGTTTCTCATTTTCAAGCAAGCCATTTTTGCTATATTCCCCAATAAAGGAAATATAAAGATATTGAAACAGCTCCGGCTAGTGCACATTTAGGAAAGGCAGCACTTAGAAACCCAATACTAGTCCCCATGCCTAATGGTTTGCATTAGCTGCAAGCAATAAAATTATCCCAGGTCCTCACTTATGCTGGAATAATCATTTACGAAGATGGTTACCACATGCTGGAACTGTTTTTTTCTTTTTCTATGTTTTTTTTTTTTTTTCATGGACCTAATTCGCTGTTATTAATAATGAATAAAAATTCTATTTTCAATTGCGTTGCTCCAGGGTTCTGGGAATCATTTCAATGAATATTTCAGCACATTATTTTAATCATGGCTCCACATATTCATCAAGGGGGGTTTGTTTTATAGGCTCATGCCTCAACCGCCCCAAGACCCTGATCATTAAACGCCACGCTGTCTGCATTGAGGTTCCTACCTTTGATTTACAAGACTTGTTAAAAAACACTGTAAAAACGAGGCAAGCTGCCCCATTTATACTTGTAATTTGAAGCTGTATTTGTAAAGGGGGGTGCCAGTGATTTATGTGTTCAGCGGTTGCTGCTGCTCCCTGCTGTTCTGATGCTATAGGCTTTAGCACAGCAAACATTACTGAGACCTTTGCCGAGCATGCCAGTACTCAGCATAATAAAGTCTATTTTTGGCCTGGATTTTCTTTTCCAGATGCTTGCATGTGATAAGAAAGTGGTTGCTGTAATCACACCATTACACTGATGGCTATGTGCTCTGTCTAACCTGCCTGTCCTTTCCTCTCCGTCATAGTCAGCTGCACGACTTCTGGCGTCTCGATTACTGGGAGGATGACCTGAGGCGGAGGAGGAGATTCGTCCGAAACCCTCTGGGCTCCACCCATTTAGATGTTGCATGCAAGTCCCTGCAGGAGTATGGTGAGTGTCACATTTGTGGAGTTCATGTATATTTCTAAATCAGACATCCATTCTGGATAATAAATGCACATTTTCACTGTTGACATCTAAGCTTTTTTGGGAAAGGATTTACATGGCCTGAGTGTGTCCATGCACTTTAGCATGCTACTTTGAAGCTTTATGGGTGACATTAATTATGGGTCCTGTTAATGAAACATGACACATCCATTTTATTGCACCATTCATTTTCATCATGACATATATTAAAGAACAAATTGGCTCTGTGTTTTTACAGTTTTTCCTCCCTTTGACTGAAATGTTCTTATTGACCCAGGCACTCGTATAGTGTCGCCCACCGCCTTGTCAGGTTTGACATGTGCCCAGCAATTCAAACTTTAACTTTTATCAAAATTCAATTCCCCCAATTTTTCCCTCCTGACTGAAATATATTGGTAGGGTCACTGTTCAGTTATGCTCATTTGAATGTATTCATCATAAAATTTAAAGAATTAGCACAAGTTCTGGTTGGGATAACCACTTTTTATAGCCCATGTCAGGTGCGTGATAATGACCTCATATCTGAGTTTAGGCCTTCCGGAGCACATTGATCGCGTGCAATTTTACTGACATCAAGTGATAAGTTGTTTGCACAGTTGGAACAACTCCACCAAATGGTATTTCAGCAGTTTTGACCTACTTAGGGGAAAAAATACTTTTGCTAGCATGGGTATCTTTGGCAAATAAATTGCGTTGTATTGCATCAACACTGCCTGCCATTAAAAAAACATCACTAAACCTGTAAACGGATCAAAACGTCAAAGAATTCTCTTCCAGTTCTTGAAACATTCCACACCTTGATCCTTGTCTCACTAATGGGACTTTACTTATAATGCTCTCAAGCTTAATATGTGTTACTGGCATTAAGTGCAGTTAGCCTGACTATTTTCTGTCTGCCTATTTTTTTAAATAAAGCTTAAAGATAGTTTCCAATATACAATACCATCCAGTTTAGCTTGAAATTTTATCTGTTTTGACATAGACTCAAAGAAAAAGCTATTCAGCGAAACTGCATTGTTGTTAAAAAGATGATGCCTGTCTCCACCTAGCCTTAGTGTCTTCTATCTTGAAAAAGTAAATATCTTTAGATCATTAGAATTTATCTCTATTTGTAAACAAACAACTATCATAATTGGGCTGTAACACCTGAAGTGTTGTACTGTGTAATTTTCTTTATTATGATTATAACCTTGAATCCTGCATTTAGATACACACCTTTTTATTTCCATTTCTTGTTAGTCATAAACTTACGTTAAATGCATTTTAATGGACAGTTCCTGTGCCATTTAAAAAATGAATAAATACAAAACAATGTATACACATGCAAACAAATACCTTTGATTTTTAATATGAGTTTTTATACTTTACACTTTCTCAAATTTGAATAGAAATGTATTATTTCCTTTAATGACATGAATTTACCTGTCAAGTGAGGTGGTTCACCGGACTGTTTTTTTCAGCTCTCACTTGTTTCTGTTCTTTGGCATTAGAGCCCCAGGTTAGTTGACTGAAGAGTTGTTGAGGTCCTGCTGGCATGTGGTAGTTTTAATGAGCAGAATAATGTATAAACTTGTCAAGTGAAAGCGATCGCCTGCAGTCAGATGGCTCTACGTGAGGGGAGTGCCACGTTTTCAGGCGTTTTCCTGCAGGCTTTGATGTGGTTCCGCAGTGGGGGCCAGGTTGGGATTTAAAACGAGAAGCATCTTTTTGTTCTTTGTTTGAGTTTCAGTACATATCGGTGGCACTGACAGTTGGTACGATTCTGTGTTATATGTATGATGACAACCGATATGACCTTTTTTTTTCTCCAGAAATTTCACCTTTAATCATGGTATTGTAGAAAAGTTTTGTGTTTAACAGATAACCCTGGTACAAAAGTTTAGAGCTTAGTTATTCAGTCTCAGCATGCAAACATTTTGACATTTCAACTGGGATGTGACAGGGACCATTCAATGTGTCCCAGGCTGTAGCTGACCTCTTCACTCAATTAAAAACTCTGCGGCTGTCGAAGTACAATTGTGTGATTAAAACCGGTTCAAGTTTGACAAAAAAGTACATTCATGTGTTGTTATGCACTCAATTAGAATGTAATGGAATATTTTATGCCTGCATGTTTTTTGCATCATGAAAAGAAAAGATCTTTTTTGCCTCTTTGCTGTGGAAAAATAAGTTGTTCCTTTGTTTCGTTTCTTTGTTTTTTGTATTTTCAGAAGTTAAAATAACTGATCTGTTTTTCAGATTTTAGTGAGAAATCATTTGACCAGTCAGCAAATCTCTTATGTGGTTTCTTTGAAGCCATATTGATATTTGAGATAAATAGACGTGCAATAACCAAGTTGAAACAGAATGATTCCTTAGCTGAACTTTTAAAATCACTTGATTCCTTAGCTGAACTTTTAAAATCACTGTTTTACAATGTGTGTGTCTGAGTGTGTACATTGATTGGAGGTTAAACTCTGCCTCATTGTCTATTAGCAACACTGACAGCTTAGCCAGCACATTCTGTCTCTGCCCTTTGTCTGTAATAACCTGCTGTGTTACAGCCAGCCTCCGCCCAGTATCAGACTATATTGTTAGGTGATTGGAACCGGGCAAGCATGAAATGGAAGTCACGTTAATATTGATCCAAATGTTTAACGGGGTGTTTTACCTCTGGGTGTCCTTGCTGTCTCATTTCAGGTGAACAGCTTCTCTCAGACCTGATTGCACCAGGCAGAGATCTTTATAGCCTTTTCCTTCAGCAGACACAGCTTTGTGATACGTTATTAACCTTCTCCGGCTTTATAATAAAATACTTTAAACCATGACATGTGACATCACAGAACAGGTGGACATGCATGTCCAGACGTTTGAAAGCAGCCTAAATGATGTGCTCACGTGGTGAAGTGGACTGCCTAATGTTCAGGTCCAGGTATGGGAATTATCAAACTATTTTTATTGTTTCGATGGAGAAAAAAGTATGATTATTTGTGACTTCTGGCAGAACAGTTGATACTCGCTGCACATCCAAGGATTGTGGATGAAAATTACTGCAAGAGGAAGCGTCTGTGTAAATGCTCCCTACATCAAAGTTATAATGTTTACTTTTTCTAACTCGATACACGTACGGATGGCTTGCATCACAGGAAGTATTAAGCTGTCATTTTCCCCCTCATTTAATCTTTTCGAGTAAATAAAAGTGAAGAGACAAATAGCAGAATTGCATTGCTCCAGCGGTAATTTAATCCTAAACAGGACTCTCTCCACATGTGGAATGCAGAGCCTGTTGAGAAGTTACGTAGGAGTTCAAAATCTAGAGCAGAGTCTGAGAAATGGAAGAGAGATATTTCTAACCTTCTATAGAGCTCACTTTATATGAATGATGATTTGAATGCACGAAACAAAGTTTAATGTAAGTGAGTAGTCTGATAGTGTACCAAACAGCTAATGAAAGACTTTACAGGCAGATGTGTGATAACTGCAAAGATCCAAATAAATATATTTTTAAAAGGAAAAAATATAGCAAAGCAGTTCTTTGGGGAACCAAGCATCCTCTGCCTCTTTCCAAATGCATTTAGATGGGAAGTAGAAGCCAGGTGCTGCTGTTCAGAACCATTTGATTTATTGTTGAAGTGTGAGCAGCTCTAAAAGCATTTTTTGGCAGTTTGTTGGCCTCTCATCACTATAGACAACTTGGGAGCTTAGCTTATGTTTGCAAGTGGTATTGAAACTGCGAGACTTCTGCAACAATATTCTCTCAACAGACAAAGCTAAAGTAGAGATGTTTTAACAACACTGTTTTAAAACCAAAAAAACATCTAATTGATATTCAAGTTTTTTTTGTTGTAGAGGGGAACAGTTGGGCTTGTTTTGCTGCAAAAAGACTTGGACATCTTGTAGGGTTGAGTCAGCCATGAGGTCCAATGTGTACCAAAGTTTTCTGGAGTGACATGAGGCCGTCTGTCTCACAGCGAAGCTTGGCTGAATTTGGGTTACGTAACAGATCATGGATTCCATAGCAGTAAATCTATAACAAATGGCTTAAAAAGAAAATAAGAAAGATTTTGCTGTGTTCCAGACCTCCGTCAGTCTGTCTGAGGGCCCCAACAGTTCTTGTAATGGAATCTCAAATCGAGATTAGTGGCCTGCACACCGGGTTTAGCTCGGGGACAGAACAGCAAAAAGAGAAGGTTACATTATTTCTTTCTGTGATCATCATGGGACATGCAAGATCACTGCCAGATAAATGACACAATCCCAGATCCCTGATGAGGCAATATTTTTGTTATGTATGTTAATAATGTGCTTCAGAGAAACAGCTCTAATACCTCTCCATTATATTAAGACAAAGACTGCAGACAGTAAAAGAAGACAATAATCATGCAACAGATGCTGGAGTTCCTGCCTACCTCGCCAAGTGAGTGGGTTCACCCAAGTTATCCCTCAGTACTCACCCATCAGCTCAGTTATTGCCAAGCTAGATAAACATCACCCCAATCTATCATAGATATCTAACACACAACTCTCTGTACCACATCAACAAGCATATTTTTAATGATCGTCAATCAAGGGCGCAGAAAAGGAGGTTTTTTAATCTATTTAGTATCTGGATACTTTTTGCATTTTTTTCTTTATTCCATAATTCTACATTTGTGGATTTATTAGTAAGCTGGATTCACTGTCAGTTGTTTCCAAAAGTGTTTCTGTGCCCATGCTGGGATTTTCACCAGAGAGCAGTGCCTGTTTTTAATGCAGTGCCTTCTGAGGATCTAAAGATCACATTCCTTCATAATGGTTCTAAGCCCTGGGCATTCTTTAGTTTCCCAGAGTTATGGATGTTATGTTTTTTTTTTCTTTCATAGTTGTTTTCATCAATTGTTGATGCTCTTCTAACACTTTTCCTAGATTTTACATTCTGTACACCGAGTCCCTCCGATGCTGTTTCCATACACATCGTGAGTGGAAGGTTGTCAGGTTGCTTGATTAGTTGAATCGTTATTAAACTCACAATCAGCCAGAACAGAAGATGAAGACAGTGGTTTTACGGAAGTCTCTGGAAGGTTTCAAAAACTCGGAGATGAAACCTTGAATCTGAAATACATTACAGTGTCCTGGTTTCAGTATTTTACAACATTATCAGAGCACACAGTTTGTAGATGGACTCGAGGGAACTCAGGACCGTGAATCCCAATTGAACCTGGGCGATGAGTGCTCAGAGGCAGCCCCCATTGTTGACTGCCAGCAGGTTTCCATCGGTCTCCATTGAGGTCACAAAATCTCTGCAAAGGATTTTACGGACTGTAATTAGTGCGCTCTGTGGCAGATTCGGCTCATTGAGTGAACAAGAGGAGCCAGTAGCCTAGTGATCGTGGATTCTCCTGGTGCCGTTTCTGAGGAGTTTAGAGGAAAACATGAGTGAAAACCACTGTCACACTTAGAACCCAATGAATGCAACTTTTCTTGCTTGTAAGGTTTTATAGAGAGTTGCTGGCTGGTTAGCATGAGATAACTAGTTCCCTTTGCTACCTATAACTTTGATTGATAAATTGCATTCACTTAATGTTGACTGTAAATAGGATAAATAATACCTTTCAAAGTTTATTCATCTTAAATCTAAATCTTTTGTGCATTTTATACCTGAATGTTATTATGGAAATATTCTTTTTTAATATTAATGGGATGGGATATAGAGAATGATAGTTTCAGGACCTTTACCTAATTTTCTGTTTTTCTTTTTATTTGTTGTTTATATCGTGATCAATAAATCTTCGAACAGCAATATTTTTCCTGTCCGTAGAGCACCCATGGATGAACACAAAGCCTCTAATCTGTTTGCCTTGGCACACTGCACAGCGAGCCCTTCTAATGGTGACAAATGGCGACTCTTTTCACAGCAGCACTTTTAGCACAACAATATCTCCAAGTCAGAGGGTCATCACTCATGAGAAGATCAGTCTTCATGTCGGCATGTTTTGTCCTTCACGTCGTACCTTTTCATTTTTTAATTTTTATTTATAACTGTATTAAATCCTGTGAGAACTATATTGAATCATGAGTAAAGCAGTGTCCCATCCCCTTGCCTGTATTGTTGCACATGTCAGTGCACATAAAGGGCAGATATATCCTCGAACACACACGCTGTTGAAATCAGCATGGTTTATTTGGTCTACTCAGCCTTGTACAGAGTTGCCAATCAGCCCGCCTGCTAGGTTTTTGCTCATTTACTTGGAGTATGCTGACGGTTTACAGAATTAAAGTTTTAGGTTTCACTCCTTTTGTTTTGATTTCTAACCGCTCGCTGGCTGTTGCTTTTAACATTGCACAGAATTCATTTCCGAAACGCTCAAACTTCTTCCCCTGGTCTGATGAAAGCACACCAGATATGAGACAGAGCAGGAAGCAGGCTTTTTTTCTCAGTAGCAGTGTTGACAACAGTCAAATGTGACCTCTTCAAGACAAGGTACATGTTCCTCAGGGGAGGGAGAGGCGAATTAAGAACAGTGCTGAAAGGAAACATGTCAGACGGGTGTCAGCCACCTCCCATACCTTGATATGTGTTCTTCCTTTTGCACATGCAATTTTCTCCTCTGGTTATTTCTTACATAGGACTTCAGAAAGACAAATGCGCATAAACGTTTTGAGCAGCTGCTTGGCAGGCACATGCAGGAGATGGGCTGATTTAAATGTCTAGTGAGAGCCCTTTGTTTTTCAGCATGTATGAACATATCCTTTTGAATGAGCATGCTTCTCTATAGCCATAGGAAGAAGTCCCGCCATACGCACCTTCCTAATTGTGCTGTCTGTTCAGTCTCCCTCTTGTCAAGTCTCCAAAAGCAGCAAGAAATATCGCTAATCTACTCTGAGCTTGAGATGTATCCTCCAACTTAGCTGTTGGTCTTTCAAGATGCTGATTGTGTTCAATTTTTGACCTTTTCTGAAAATGAAAGTTGACACAGTTTTGATGTGTTCAGTGAACAAATGAGTGCGGAGCCCTGACATTCTTTCATGCATCACAGCAAGAACGTACATGTGGATTATCCTGCATATCATTTAGAATTTTGTGTTATCATTGTCTGATTTATTTATTTTTATGTCTTTACCCAGCGAGGAACCTGATAATGATTTGCCCTGCTTTGTATTATAAGCCATATTTTACCAATACTTTGTCTATGCTGCGTGCAAAGTGTGGGTTAACTTTGTTTTCGTCCGTTCGTGCTTTTTCCTTGTTTTATTTAACATATTTACTTATTTGGTAAATACGATGCACATTGTACAATCCACTCCCCGATCATCTGAAATGTTCATAATTTTGCATTGACTTTTTCATACATTTTAAAATTTTGCTTGGTCAAGTAAAATTGGCTAATAGACTATTGTTAAAGTGTTGTGCACATAGCATAAATCTTCAAAAAATATGTGGGCAGATTATGTTTCAACGTTTGTATAATATTACCATAAATCTACATTGTTTTAGATTAGACTATAGAGGCTGTAACAGTACAAGATTGTTATCCTTTAATGGCCTATCATTTACATTTGAGTGTTCAAAGGACAATTCCAGAATCATTTATCATATTATTTTTGCCAAATTTGTTTTAAAGTAAGAAATCTTTGTTCAGATTGATGGTACTGGCCAGATGACTATGCTTGCGGGGGGCCGTCATTGGGCATATATCTCTGGCCTCAGTTTGGCCAGCAGCCATCAGAGTTGTAGATTGAATCTGGGTAATCTGTATGCAAATTTTCTCTTTATGAGTTTCAAAAATCTTTTGTTGCTGGTTCGGAAATTATTTGTGACTTTTGCTAGACGTGTATGAATTAAAAAAGTTATGATAGTATTGACTAGAAATGTTTGATAAAGAAAAGATGAACTCCAGGATGATGTTTGTGCCTCTACGTTTTCTTTAACGATGCAAATAAAAGAATTTTATTTTCTATTTTTCAAAAGTACAAACTTCATTTCGGGACAGATAATTAATGTGATGCATCTCTTCTATGTAGGTGTCACTAAAGAATAATTAAGCCTGCTTTGGATAGCTTAGAGGCAGCAATGTTTGGTGACCTGTCATCCCTTACCTGTTTTACAGGCTTAAAGGAGAATGGCTCTGTCAAATCCAAGATGGTTTTCAGGAGCCCAGCTGTGGCCAGTCCGAATCCTGAGACCGAACTGATTCTAGATGGAGACGATGATAATGTGAGCCTGCTACAGGAGAAGGAGACGGACAACCTGGGAGGTACTTCAGCACATCAACGTTTTTATCAACCACAGTTCAACATTGGTGGACGTTTTATTCTAGGCAATATTATTTGTTCTGTACACCAGTCACAGTAACTAAAGGAAATACTGTATTTAGAATATCAGGTGTGAGTTGAACAACTGACCAGTGTGTAAATATAAATGTCCATGACTTGGACTCATTTTCTCACTGATCGCTTCGTTGAATTTGGACATTGTTGTCGATTTAAGAATTGCTTCAACTAGCATTTGTCATCAAATGCAAGTCTTCTTGAGTTATACTAACACTTGAAGAATGATAGTTTACCTCTTGGAATTTTCTGTCCATTTTTTTATTTATGAAGTTTAGATTTAACTCTGCAGAAACCTAATTTTATCAGTCATTTGACATCCTGCTGGTCTCTCAATCGCAATCCCAGCATTTAAAATTATTTGTGTTCATTAGCTTATGGTGTTTGACTGGCCATTTTTTTTGCTATTGTGGCTATTATCACTCATTATGATAATTGTCATCCTTTTGCTGTGAAACTAACCTGTTTCATAGTTGTCTCTCTTGCCAGAGAGAAGATCAATACAAACACAAAATGTGTCTTTTCTTCCTTTTTAAATGATTTTTATTTTCATATATCTTAACCTAATTAGAAAAATGAATCTTGTACAGTCAATTGTAAAACGTGCTGCTAGTTTGCAATTTGGCAGCCGTACATCCCGTTATTCAAAGATTATCATGCAGACTTTAAAACAACCCTTTAAAAGGCTTTGAAAGGTAAGTTATCTAAAGTTGTCTTTAGTTTTTTTGTTTAGATCATAAAAGCTAAAGCACATTTTAGGAAAAACCTCTTTAAATACTGTAAAAGGCAGCTGGCACACATTTAGTTTGTTCATGGCTTGAACAATCTAAATGATTTTGAGAGGTTTATTCCTTTATTATCCCCATGGCTAAAGCCAAAGAAAATAAGGCCATAAAAAAATGTTAGTCATTTTTCCCCAAACTGTTATCATCGCTGGATGTTTTTTTTTCCATCTGTGTCAAATCAAGAGTATTTGTTTTCAGAGAATTCCCTCCTACTAAGGGTTTAAATTAAAACTTTTTTTTTTATTTTCAAGTTCAGAACATTTACTAAGCACACACAATCTCTGATGGAAAACATATGACAAAAGAGCCTTTAAAATCCACATTACCATACACTTCAAATTTCTTCCTAATTACTTTATAGTGCCCACTTATCGTGGCTTAGCATGTGAAGCTCAGGCTGATCCAGGGCACTGCTGAGCAGTGAAATCCCCTTTAAGATCCCACAGATGAATCTCAGAGGAGGAGACTAACCCCTCCTTTTTGTCCCAGGGCCAGCGGGCAGCCAAACGCTCCATGTCTGTCAGATGAACCTTTGGCTGGCCAACGTAAAGAGCAGGGCAGGGGCTCATGTACAAACAGCCGCTTCTCTCCAGAGAAACTAATAATGACCATGAACAAAACAGAAATGCTGAGCTTGATATTTGCAACATATTTATGAAGTGTGAACGAGGGTGGACATTGAAAAGTAAATACAGGGATTTATTTGTTCATGAGAAATGAAGGTTGAGTTCACGTTTTTGCCAATAGGGGAGCTGCCCCACACTGCAACGATCAGGATGTGTTTTTAGCAGGATGTACCGGCAGGGTTTTGGTCTGTATATAATCTCAGACACGAACAATCTTAATGAGAGATCTGAGACTAGATCGTCATCAGAAGCAGGGCTCCTCCAGCCAGCCGCTGGGTCAGTGCCTGCTGCTGCCAAAGGGGTGGCGCCTGCACTCAGGGATTTAGCCAGTTGTGGTTACTGAACCTATGATTAGTTTTACTCCCCAACAAACACTGGAAATGCTGTCTGTACTTGTGCTGCTATTAAATGATCTTTTTTTGTGTGCATATATTGTAACCAAAATCAGGCAAAATAGAAACGCATGTGAAAAGACAGAATGGAAGAGTCTCGCAGAGCATTTCTCATGATAAGGAGGAGTTTGTAAGTAAGCCAGCGTACCGGAAGCATGTTAGTACACCCCAAAGTGTGGCTTTGTAGCCACAACCATTTTGTTTAGCTTTAATTTAGCCTTTTGTATCCATTTTAGGTCCCTGCTCAGAATACTGATCCCTTTAGGGATGACATGTTTATAAAAGGGTAAAACCAACATAACATTTCTGAATGTGCACCTCTGAGGATATGAAAAAAAAAGATGAGAAGTGTTATTCTGTTCTGTGGCACCCGATTCATGGTTTTAATTCAAGACGTCTACAAATCATTTCCTTCCTCAAACATAAGTTTACCTAAATCACCATGCAAGTAGACGGTATTGTTTGGGCACCAAAGTGACCCAACTTTGCAGTCCAAAGGAAAGGCTGTAGGTGGTGATCAACCCATCCTCTCAGTAGTTCTCAACGCCCACTTCAATGAAATAAGGCATTTGTTAATATATTAAATTAGGCTGTGCTTAGAGAAATATTTGCATTTTCATTAAAAGATAGACCCAGCAGCGGGGTATTCAACACTTTATCCTGTGTGCCCCACTCATCCTGTGTTACTTGCCCTTAATTTCATTATTCTCATGTAAACATTTTAATGCCATATAGCCTAATTATGGAAGGATCCCTGAGGGGATTACTGCCTAATCCTCTTCCTGCCCATGTGCAGTGGATGCCTAATGCTTTAGGCAATAGTGTCCTTCACTGGGTGTAGTCTGAGAGGGACAAAGCACAATGTAATAGTCGTCTAAGTATTATTTTCAGCAGGTTAAATTAATTTACGCCGTCTGAAATTTTATAAACACAGTCCGCTTTTATTGCAGTCACTAAGGATACCAAAATATGAAATAATTTATTAAAAGGATAAGAACAGATATGTGATATATTTGCTGATTATTTGCCTAATTGTGGCTGTTTTGATTGGAGGTGCTGGGCTGCTGCTGGCTGTGTATCTGTCTCTGTTATCAACACAGGGAACATTATCTGAAATACAGAAAACACGCCAAGGCTGCTTGTTACTTTTAACAAGCTTGCAAGCACCATGTAAGATCTGGGTTGATAGCATCAGCAGATAGGATCAGCGTTAATGGACCTGAGCAACGTGGAGGAGAGAAAAAAAACAGGACTGGTGTTTTAAGTGCGCAGCCTCCAGGATGAATGGGCGCTGTGGGAGTTCAGGCCGAAATCCACTTGTACTCCTGTAACACTATCGGCCATAATTGGCTGAGGAACGTGGATTAAGATTGATGAGACATTAAAGTGGCTCTTTGGAGTTTAAAGGATCGATAAATATACCGATTTGGAGGGCTTTCGTTTGCGAGCAGACACATCACTTTAACGGGCTCCACAGTGACACTGATCTGAGATCAGGGAGGAGGAGAAGCATCAGAGCAAAGGAGGACACGTAAATAAATAAAGGCTTGCAAATACAGTTTAAGGGATGATTATTGTCACTTGATAACATGCTTATTTTCTTTCGTTGAAAGCTATCGCCTATAAAAACACAGTGCTTTATTATTTTTTTGTTTTTTTGTTCGATGCAGCAATGGCCGTTTATCTGTTAACGGAATCGTCAACAGCAATTTAGTAAATTAATGTTTTATATATTTTTGGTCAAATGTGCCAATCTGAGAATGGGAAGAAGGCAGGGTTGAAGAATATTTGGTTTTATTTAACCTTCAAATAGAAGTGCGCGTTTTGTGGAGCGACTTGCTTATTTTGGAGTCATTTCGATGTAGCCGATTACCCATCTGCAGCCTCGATATTTGCACCGCAGTTTGCCCTCAAATGCACACGATAACAAAAAGCATTTGTGCATAAAAATGAAAAATTAGGTTTCACGTTTTTTTTTCCTTCGTCTTTTTCTCGCTACGCCTTTGGCTGTGGGTGAGGAAATAATCCAAACTCTAACATTACCACAACAGCAGCTCTCGCCTTCTTTAGTCACAGATTTAACTTCATCCCCGAATTTAACATTAATTCCAGTAAGTATTGTCTGTGTATGGCTCTCTGCGCAGGCCCAGTGGTGCTGAGCAGCCCGGCCCAGCTGGTCGCGCCTGTCCTGCTGGCCCGCGGAACTCTGTCCATCACCACCTCTGAAATCTACTTTGAGGTGGACGAAGATGACCCTGCCTTCAAAAGGGTCGACCCGAAGGTAAGTAACCTGCAAGCCACCGTGCAGCACCGTTTGCTAAATGCTCAGTTTCTGACACTTTAAACACGTTTCTCACATTCAGCTGCTCCCAAAGTAGCTCCATAATAATTCACTATGCTGCCCATAATTTTTCTATAAGAGTTTAAGTACAACAGTTTTTGTTTCTGCTCATAATGGATTGTGTGTGTGTTTTAGTTGGTGTGTGTGTGTGTGTGTGTGTGTGTGTGTGTGTGTGTGTGTGTTGCTTAAACTTTTTGGAAAAAATACATTTCCCTTAGAGCTGCTCTTCCTGCAGACTGAGTGTTTTGACAGTTAATTTAGCACATTGTGCCAAGTAAACTCTTCAGCCATTAAATTTAAAAACAAATCAGCTGGTGATTTTACTTAGAACAGAAATCTGTCTGAAACGTTGTTGTTTGGGTTTTTTAAATGAAGAACACCCTCAAAATAGTTTTTTAAAGATATTGCTTTGCATTAGGCCTACTTTTGTACAAACAAATACATATTTAATAAAATCATAATTGGACACAAGTATAAAACAGCTTGTTTTATTAACTCTTTAAATTAGATCAAAGACAGAAATAAAAAAATCAGATCACAGATGTTTATAATCCAGTGTATCTCAAGTGCATTTTTTACCCAATTAAACTGTAATATATATATACTATATATATATATTTATATATATATATAGTTTATCTTTTTTTATCACGTAGGCCTAAGCATGGTAAAGAAAAACAACAACTCAAATATTTTGAGTAATTTAAATAAGAATTCAAGTAAACTGATGGAATGTCTTCAATGTAACAAATGTTGTACGCCTACCGTAAACATGTAAACTTTAAAAAAAATTAGAAAATGTCCATTGAAACAGGTGAATCCGACTACCACTGATGCAAGTATAAATTAACAACGTTTCTACCAGTTAAAAAGGGAAAAGAAAATCTGAAGATTTAAACAGGTGGATCCTATTTACGTGTCACAGAACAACATTCACAATTCAGACCACTTGAATCACAATCTATGAATGTATTTACAGTATAAAATGTACAGATATGGGTTTTTATTTGTCCAAGATTGTTGTGGTGCTTTTTAAGCTTTTGTGGAAATGGTTGATTTAGGCGAGGTGTGGCATGAAGAAAAGAAAAACCACTGTTAGTGGCCCCTCTAAATTAATTGGTGCCAATAATTTAAACTTGCTTCTAAATCGCCTATGGACACCACCAAAAGGTGCACGGGTATAATAGTAAATTATACTGTTGTAAAATCATCTTGAAACAGGCTAGGCCAAAAGGTTTTCAACAACGGAGGACAGTCACATTTTACAAGACTCTGGGTTGGCGATTTTCTCTGTCCACTCATATATTTAAGCCTCTTTTAACACATTTTAAGACGAAGTGAACCAAAATGTTCTTTCTTTGTTACCTCAGAGTTTCTCCAAGCTTTTGGGGTTGGTCAGTATTTCTCTCGCCAGTCGCCAAGTCTGTTTGGCTGCGTTTTCTAGAGCAGAGTGAGGTTTTCCTTGAAACAGGTCTAAATTGGGCAGGAAATAATGCGGGCACCTCCTGCACTGCAAGCACGAAATGAGCTGCAATAGAATCCCGTTCAGGCGGTCGCCCAGGCAGTTCTCATCCCAGTCCGACTCCCGTGGGTGTTTCTCACACTCGTAGGAAACCAAAGTTTTCATGTGGTAGTTGTTGAGGGGCTGTCCGGGCAGCTCCAGGTGACGGTCTCGCAGCGCTTTGAGCACGGACAGGCACTTCTTCCTGCACCCGCCCAGCAGGAGCCGGTTCTCGGCCTCGGCAAACTGCAGGACCCAGGCGTCGCTCTCTGCCGAGCTCTGCTTGCCGTTCAGGGAGTAACACTCTTTGGATAAAAGGTTGAAGCCCTCCGCTTTGACTTCTGCCACCCGGTTGGGGCCGGGCCACGGGATGTGAGGCAGAGGCCAGTGCGCCGCGCTGCGCGGCCAGATGCCGGTGCACTTGAACGCCGGCGTGATCTGCACCACGTATCTGTCTCTGATGCGCAGCTTCACCTCACTGGTGTCAGCGACCATTTTGACAACATCTCTGTAGCTGCATTTGTCTACGGCTTGCGCCACCAGTGTCTGAAATCTGGAGCGGATTTTGCGCGCTGAGAGGTAACCGGAGGCGGTGATGAATTCCACCCAGAGAGACATGCTTCTTTTGCGGCCGTCGCTGAGCTTGAGCACCGCGCAGCCTGGAAGAGAGCCGTCATCTACGAAGTTGAATACTCCCATCTGATTCAGATAGAGTACGACCTCGAACTCGGTGGGTGAAATGACCTCCAGTCCCTCGAAACGATTATCCATCTCGCTGAGGGAGCTGATGAAGCGGGGCTCCTGCACCTCCACCTCCTTCAGGACATCCGAAACCACCTTGCACACCTCCCGGATGGTCTTGGAGATGGCCGCCTTTCGAGACTGACATTTCTCGTTGTAATATTTGTTTAGGTGATACACCAACTTTGCCTGTGCGGCTATCATATTAGGGCAGAGATCCGGGTTATACACCGGAGTCTCGCAATATGCCGAGGGATCCAACGCGACTGTTTGTACGGGAGCCAATTTTAGAGAAGAAGGGAAGCTATCTAAATAGAAAAAGTCTACTTCAAAATCACTATGTGCTCAGAGCACATGCGTAACCATCAAAGCAGTCACAACCTTAAACTGCATCGAAGTGCTCAGAGCAAGTCCTCAGAATGATCCGGATGGTGTGATTAAAAGTCCATTTGCACCTTGTTCAAAAGCCAAGAAAAAGCCTTTTCTCTCTCTGATCGCTGTGCCAGTTAAAGTCCGCGTAATTGCGCAGAGTGGAGTGTGTTCTCCTGACGCAGACGCCCGGTGTTGCCGTGTTTTACAACATAGAGGCGCGCACACACACACTCTCTTTATTATAAGGGAGGAGTTGAAACCAAGATGTCCAATCGCTGTCCAATGCGTCACCGCAGTTTATCGAAAACAAATTCATCCCCGGGTGCTATATACAAGTAAAAAGTCCAGGTAGTGGTAGTATCGAGGAGCGGAAGTACACCTACGCCTTTGGACTGAAGGAAAACATCTCCCCGACTTCCTTTCCTTTGCTCTGCTTTCTTTTCTTTTCCGAGAAAAATAGCCTCTGTTTTTAATCAGCTTTGTATGTTATGACACAGTAGGTGGTTTTAGATTTTTTAGAGCAGATTTTAATAATAGAGTATTTGCATTTTTATTCAAATTTGCTATTTATTTATTCTATTTAAGGTTACACGAAAAACGGGACAAACGATTTAGTCACAGGAATTATTTAACCAATTTCTATTTATGTGTTGCATTTGTAATTTTTCAGGGAATATAAAGATAAAATAACTACGTCTTTATTCAGACCCTTCTCAGTCTGATGTGTCGAGTTTATTTCTAAACGAGTAAAAGTGCAATATTGAGGCTTTAGGCCTAATTAAGCTCCACACGACTGCACTGATAATGGATTATCATGCCTGTTGTTAGACGTCTGGATGTGTGTTATTGTAAAAATACTACGAAAACGGAAATGTGAACGTTTTTAAGCGTTCAATTAGTTACATTTCTAAAGTACATGTTTTAGATGAGTTTTTATTTTAATAGCGTCCACATATGCAGTTTTACAGCTTTAATCTGCATGTTATCCTTGACTCTGTCCACACAAAAGTGAATTATCCTTTTAATTATTCATGTTTTTTCCAAATTATATATTTTTAAAATATTAAACACTTCTTAAATAATATATTGTTTTTTATGTCAAATTATAAGAATTATTATTTTTTCTTTAATCTGTTATTGAAGGAGCTAGATAAATCTTTAGAACCGTTTTAAACCAAAAAGTAATTTATAATTTTCAGGTACCAGTTTAAACTAAATTTAATTGATTAAAAAACCAGACATTTTTTAAGGGAAAAAAACAAGAAAATAATGAAGTCCAAACAAATTAGAATATCATTTTTGACCATTTTAGCAGAAGCCTTATGATTCACAATAAAGAGCTGTTGCATCTGCATTCTCTGGCTGTCAATACTGCACCAGCACTCCTCTCACACACTACTGTACATCCTCTGTGGAAGACTTCAAAACGTTGATACTACACAGATCAGATAAGGAAGACAAAGGCATTTACACTCATTCGTGCCCCTGGTGAGAGCTGCACACAGGCAGACATTATGAGGGCAGGCTGCTGCTCTGCAGCTGAAGCTGAGGCGGCTGAGGCGGGGAGCCGTGTGACGGAGGCAGCTTGATCGATAGGTGACTCCCATTATCACCCAGACTGCCATGGCGACGGAGCCCGCGGCTGCTTGGCAAGTCTTGGTGATAATCTGACATTGTTACCTGGTAGAACTAACAGATTTAAAGATTCAAATCCAATTGTTGGACTAGAGAAATTCATACAAAGGTTTATTTTATAACTGAATAAGATATTTAATAATACCTTGTATTATGTCACATCTGGGTTAACTTAACAATTTCAACCAAACATTTTTACTTTTATTGACATACACGGGGACATATATTGGGGATATGGAGGGCATTATAAAATGTATTCATGTGGGGAGAAGTAGCTAAAAACCTTTCCCTCTCTTTCTTTGATAGCATTTCCCTCTTCTCTCCCACTGTCTGTTGCTCAGCAGGTACTTGGCTTTTATTGAAACCAGACTGGCTTCTTTTTCCAGACTATCATGCTCCAAGTCAGATGCCTCAGAGTCTAGTTGCACCTCTCGAGTTCTTACTCCTGCCTTTAGCCATCCCTATGCGTGATAGAGAGGGGGATTTTCATTGAGATTATCACCTCTTAATCTAAAGCATGTGGCTGCACAGATCCCACAGTAACTCAACCTGCTCCACAGTCCCATGACTCCAGCAGTTGTCAGGAGTAGCCTAAGACCATCCAGTTTTCTTACTCATAGTATTACCATTAAAACATGAAAATAATATTTTGCTCCTTGTACCATGCTGCTAAGCTATTGGAGGCCTTCAAATAAGACGTATAGAATTTGGATTTCTGCACATACTTCTATCAGATCCAGCAAAATGCATCAACACAATGATATCGACTTCCCCCAATTTTGCATGAGCATGTGACCATGTTTTGAAGGCCTCTTTGTTTCAGAAGCATTCCTCTATGCTTATTCATTTTTTCTCCTCCATATTTCATTTTGCCTTCTTTCAGTGAGACAGAGAATCCTGTTAACATTAATATTCAGAATTTTGGTGGTATTTGTTTGATGGTGCAGTTGCTCTTTTTGTTTTACACTCGGTCTGGTCATAGTCATAAAGAACATATAGCTTTTATTAAAATAACAAAAAAAACATTGTATGCTCTTTTATGATACTATTAATCTGTTAATCTAATAAAAAAAAAAAAGGATCTATGTCGCTCTGTCTTTGACTCCAATGTACAAATCACATACTTTGGGAGTAATATTTTTCTTAAAATTTCTCTTTTGTCTAATGGAGATAGTTTACACTGTTATGTTGCGGTCACGTTTGGCCAATTACATTTTTATGCTGAATCAAGTTTGTGGACAGCAATCCTATAACTGACAGTGTGATAGCAGTGGGTATTTAATTATTTTATAAATCCTATTACAGAAGAACAAATAAGGTCAGCCATATGCTTTTTCATTACATTTTTGGGGTTATTTAGTGATGGGAAAAGGGACTAAAGCCATTTAATGGGACTTTACCAGCTCCCAAGTTAATGTGCAGATTAGTTCAAGCAGACTTAATAGGATAACATTTGTCTGTATGAATCAGATTAAAAACAGTGACACTTTATAGATGTGATATCACTGGCGCTCAGAATGAGAAATGAAATACACACGGGATAATCGCTCACTTTGACACACTTTCTGTAATTTTGCTTGGCTAAAATGAAATTGTCATATTGAGTTTTAATAATGGATTATTATTATTGCATGCAATATGGTGTCTCTGTTGGGGTCCAGTTAATTTTTGGGCCTGGAGCCTCACTGTAGACCCCCTTTGGATTTGGTTCATTCATTTATTTTACTCTCCCCTGTCTATTAGCATCTTCATTCAGACAAGACAGGAAGCTAGTGTCTAAGACCCCCTTTCTTCAACAGGGTGTCTTTATGGTATCTGTAGGAAATCATCAAATATATTACATTTAAAGGATTTGTTGTTGTTTTTAGAAAATAGAGATAAACAGAAGAGTACAAAACCTAATTGTTTGTCTCACTTTCATTTGCCCCTTCACCCCTCCCTTATGCAATATGGTACGCTTGTCAGCCTTGGTGATAGATTACATGCATGTGTTTGCATGAATTTAGCATGAATGCAGTTTAATTCTATTCCAAAGTAGCAATCTAAAAAATAACTGGATGTCTTAAAAAATACAAAAATTAAATTAAAAAGTAAAAAAAAACAAGTATAAAGAGTATACTAGGCATGTTCCCTCAGGGTAGAGTAGTAGTGCTGCTTTATTTTTGAGCCAGCACATGGTATTATCTTTTTATTCTTTAAAAGATTGGGTTCTGGAGACTAGAGTGATTGTTATTATTTTGTTTCTTCATGTTTATTTGAATATTAAATAGATATATTTTTTATATATGGGTTTTATTTTCTGAAAAATAATCTATTCTCAAAAGGCTTCAAGTTGTTTTATATATTTTATTTAAATGCATTATTTTGTTCGATTCATTTGTATGTTTTTTTACCTTATCTTTCCGAAGTCAATTTTTCAGAAAAAGTCATGTGATTAGTCTTAATCTTTGCAAAAGGCCTGTCATCTGAAAGTGGGCGCTATAATCATCTGCCCACTGACCCCTTGATGCTCATATACAGTCCTCTCCACTGCACTTGTTTCTGATGCATATTTCAAAACGTCAGACTTACTGAACACTATTACAGGTCCCTCTCCACACACTATCCTGCGATCTAGGAGTAGGAGTGCAATGAAGAGTCAAAGTAAATAGACGAATTACCAGCATATTGTTGGTTTGGGGCTGTTGGTAATCAGATGCTGTTGGGAAGGCCTGTGATGAAATTAGATGTTGTTGCCTAAATAAGGGATGAAGGGTTCATAATTGCCAGTCTTAGAGATCTGAGGTGCAGGGTGCCAACTGTCAGAGCAAGGCTAATGATGACAAATGTCTCTCCATGCAGATTGCTGCAGCAGCACGAGTGTGCAGCTGAGATGGAGGAAGAAAAGAAAAATGCTGTGGGCCTTAACAAGAGAAAGCTTGTGTGCACATATTTAATGACCTACATGGAAAATAACCCTCTTAACTGATGGGCTGCCTTTGAAAGTACAAAGGCTTGATGCTGTTTAAAGCTACCTCTGCTGATATTAATAGCTAGACATCTCTGTGGAGAACCACTGGTCCTTGAACAACACAAAAAAAATGCAATTGGTATAAATTTGTTCCCAAGCTTTTTAAGATGATTTATCAATAAAAATGCATCTCGATGAAAAAATTAAGCCAAATAGTCAACCTGCTCTGGAGAAGAGGCTATAAGGC